GGTTTGTGGTGAAGAAAGTGCGGGAGTGGCTCTTTGTGAAGGGTTTGAACATAGCGAGTGCAGCAGTAAAGCGCTTGCTAATGCCGGAGTCACTTGTTCCAACAGTGGTAAGTTTTCAAGCCTGTCCAAACTATGTGATAACTTGTAATTGCCTTTGAATACTTTAGAATGCCTTCTCAACTCGACTCTCACAATTTGGGGTCAATTTTTTCTCCATGTTTGTGCCAGATCTACTACATGAGTTCGAACTTGGAGTATGGAAGGCTACCTTTACACACCTTCTCCGTGTGTTGTATGCCCATGGTGAAAATGCTATCCAAGATTTAAACAAATGGTAAGCAAGCACTACAAATAATGGTACATTTGTTGTCAAGCATTCGTGTTACAGGTACCGCCAGATACCCCCGTTTGGGCGAGGAACAATTCGAAAGTTCAGCAACAACGTCTCTGGCATGAAGCGTTTGGCTGCATGAGACTTTGAAGACCTACTTCAGGTGTGTGTGTGGTCAATCTCTTTCCACTGAATGATCTCATGTCTGAGTGTGAGTCATAGTGCGCAATTCCTGTGTTTGAGAATCTTCTACCCCGTCCTTTCAATGCCATTGTTCTTGACTTACTCTTTGAGCTCACTACTTGGCATGGACTAGCTAAGCTGTGCATGCACACAAACTCTACTCTAGATTACCTTGACACTTCTACAACACGCCTGGGCCAAATCCTCTGTCGGTTTTCACGTGAGACAAAGAAAGCTTACCAAACCCGGGATCTTCCAGCTGAAGAAGCTGCTCGTGGGCGCCGCAAAGCAGCCATGCTACTCAAATCAGCAGCAAAAGATGCGTCTGGCAGTAGGAACCTGACAGAACCCAAGCCGTGTAACTCAGACTCAGCAGGGGGAAGTGGCATCAACAGCAAGGGAAAGCAGAAAGCTGAGGGGCCAAAGCTGCGGTATCTGAACCTCTCCACATACAAACTCCATGCACTTGGTGACTATGTCAATGCCATTCGTCAATTTGGACCTACAGACAACTATACAACGCAGTTGGTAAGTTTCCAGCGAGCTACAAGCAATATCCAGTTGTGTTAAGTTCTCTTGCTGTAGGGCGAGCTCGAGCACCGACGGGTCAAGCGATTCTACCCAAAAGTTAACAAGTCTAGATTCACAGCTGGTATCTCAAAGCAGCAATGCCGGGAGCGGATCCTATTCGAGATGAATAGGCGTTATCAGCGCCAGTTGGAAAGTGATGCTTCAGGGAACACACGACAGGCTCCACCATTGAAGGGAGGATCACGTGAATCTCACCACCTTCAGTTTGACGAGTCAGAACCACTGTCATACAGCGACCCAAAGGCTCACTATCACATGTCAGAGAGTAATAGGAACTATATTAACCTGCCAATGTGGCTTGGTAAAAACAAGGGGGACCCAGCCTTAGAAGTAAGTTTTATTTTGAATACTCCCGCACCGTGGTTCATTGGAAACAACTGATCGTTGGCCCCATGAACAGGATTTCTTACCTCGGCTCAAAGATCATGTTCTCACCCGACTCCTGGGCCAGGCTTATGATGGCGATGAACAGTCGTTCACGTCTGCTGAGCGCAGCAATGTGATAATTTTCAAGGACCGCATCTACTGCCACAAGGTTCTGCGGGTTAACTATACAACATATGACATGCGGCGTGCCCAAGATTCTCTCAATCCATGAAACTGTGCAGATGTCATGGTCTTGGCCCATGAGGATGATGAAAGCCACAAGCACCCTTACTGGTATGCACGGATACTTGGTGTATTTCACACATTTGTTGTTCACAAGGGTTCTGGGTCCATGGAGCCCCAGAAGGTGGATTTCTTGTGGGTACGATGGTTTGGGCGCGACATGTCACACAAGTCTGGGTGGCATGTCAAGCGACTCCATCGCATTGGTTTTATTCCTCATGAGGACCCTGGCACATTTGAATTCCTTGACCCTCATCATGTCATCCGTGCAATTCATTTGATTCCAGCATTTGCACATGGCCGGACAGATGAATACTTGCCACATTCACTTGCTCGACAGAAGAAAGAGAATGACGAAGACTGGGTTTACTTGTATGTGAACATGTGAGTTTCAAATGTCTCATTCACGTCTGATGTTGACCTGTCGAACATTAATCATCCATAGGTTTGTTGATCAAGACATGCTGATGCGCTTTCGTGGTGGTGGTATCGGCCACAAATCAACCCGCACAGCTACAAATGTTTTCAAGCAGGATTGTGACGATCTGGATAGGACCTGTGATTTCAGCACTACGGACAATGAAGAACATGAAAATATAACTGGAATGTCAACTATTGTGTCACCAGATGACGAAATCCAAGCTGAAGATGATGAAGAATCACTCGAAATGGAAGAGAATGGATATGATGGACTTGAACAAGTGGAGGACGAGAGCAGAAGTGTGGGAGGTATGGGCGATGATATTGATGGGCCTGATCTGGAGGAAGACAAGCTAGAGTTGGGCCCGGAGGACGGTGAGGATGAGGTGTTTCCCCAGGATGAACTTGTATGGGGTGACTACGGCGAGCTCTAATCAGGCAGGCAGCCACTGGTAAGACTTTCCTTCATCAAATGTTAGTACACAGGACTCATCGCTACAGGTTTCGTAGCGAACGGGTATTTGCCTGCCGTCGTCTGTCCTTGAGTACCTACCCCTGGTTTGCCTATGTTGGGGATTGGTTGCGTGGTGGTGGTATCGTTAGCATGTCACAAGTATTAGCTGAGGTTCGAGCTTTGGGTGCTCTGGATGTGGCATGTTCGTTTGGTAGTGACCCATCCCGATAAATTTCCAATACCTCCTAATAGATTCAAGTGCAACCTTATGGAACTGCCAGTACACTGAAATCTCCAGAATTCCCTCAATATAATGGTATGCAACCCTAGTACTACCTAGTGCAATGCGTCCGAATGTACAGGTGCACTGCTGGTGATTACATAAGCTGAGTTGAGCAGAGTCCCGAGCGCCCCGACGCTGGCATTTTGGAATACATGACGAGTGGGATACCTTTTATATTATTCTCTGTAGCTATGCTATGCATGCATCTTAATGTAATGATAAACAACACTTCTGCCTTGAGCTACATGTCCGCGACAAGAATGTATCAAGTTGGATGTGGCTACCACTACTTACATAAGTATCCATACATAAACTGGTCGAGCAGTTCGGAATACACGACCACTGGAATATCCTCATCTTAATCAAACATAAAATGCCTCTGAATGTAATGATAAACAATGCTTCCGCATCGAGCTACACGTCTGCAACAAGGATGTATCAAGTTGGATGTGGCTATCAGTACTTACATAAGAATATGACACGCGGTTGGTTTTGTCGATGATACGAAGAGTGACGTCGGGTCCTTATCGGCACCTTAGGTGGGTTTGCGTGTAGTCAGCAGTGACAGTCAGTCTCGTACCCGTCCGTTGTGGTGAGTCCAACTATCATCACAACGAATGGACATGGTTTCTTACGAAGTAACATTCCGCAGTGTCGTGGCTAGCAAAGGACTCCTCTGAGACAGTGGTAGTTCTGGCCGTGGAGGAGGGAATGTCCTGGCGCTCCGACAAGGTGCAGTGTGTTGACGAATTTCGAGTTTCGTGCAACTGATCGACTTGTGTCGACTTGCATCGCATATTTGTTGTTGCTTGTTTGCTTCGCCTGTACTAATCCCTTCTCCAACTCGAGATCACCCTAGATTGCCTAAATGCTCAGGGGCTTGTTATCCCTGTTGCCAAGATGGTTCCAGTTCACGAACGTGCATTCTACGTGAAGTCGGGAACGCTCTGTTGACACGACGAAGCATAAAAAAATAGCCGTGCCAATGGCTTTTGGAGTCCACTTTCGACTGAATGGATGCTACCGACTCGATTTCGTTCCCGTCTTTAAGCGTAATGAATACGAAACCACGAATCGTTTCGTAGTGGTTTTCAGAGATAGACTGGGGACAGTTGCATGCGGGGTCCCCTGTATACAACCGCCACAAGTCTATGTTTCCTAGTACCGATGGGGAAGTCACCTGGGCAGGAACTCTATGTCAGAAGTTTCTTGGTGATGACATCAATCTTTCTGTTTCTGCACTCGATTCACGCACATGCCACTGTCAAAATCTAGCGTTCGTGAAGCATGTGTGTAAAGGTGAATGCAAAAAGTGTGATAAGTGTGAGAGGTGATATCAAAGGCCTGCCGTCGTGCACCATGCCTAGTCCTTACTAGTCAGATAAACTGTAAAGGTAAACCATCCGTAGTAAATTTCATATTCACTAGCACTGGTGACTGTGTGCTAGTCCACATTTGTCTGTGCGTTCCTATCGAGGGACTTCGCCATCGGACTCTCGCACAGCTTCTTTCGTGACGCGGTCCTTTCTGATTTGAGCGGCCTAGCGCGGTATTTCCTCTGCGTTTCATGCGGGCTTGCGCCCGAGTGAGATACGCCGCGATCGCGGACTCCTGGTGCCTGTTGCAAAAAAATAGTATTTATATACAACAGCGCAACAGCGAAAGAGGGGGGAACACGTACGATGCGAATACTTGCAACTGTACGGTGGCAAGGCGACGAAGGATCATCGATTATCTGGTGGAAGACTGTGCCAGAGGAATGGACACAAGTTGCCTTGGATGTGCTGACTCGGGCCGGTCACCACGCCCGGTGTGTTAGCAGTCGATTAGGAGTGGCATCGGAGAGAGATCCTATCTGGCATGTGGCGCTATCGGCACGGAATCCTATCACCACGAACAGAACCAGAGTCTGCGCCGTCTCCTCCGAGCTGTTCGTTGTCCCTTGTTCTGGTTTGCCGCAGTCTGGAGGCATACGTGATGTTGGGTCGTGTGCTCGTCGAGAAGATAACGGAATTGGGGTAGCTTGGTGTGTCATCGGGTGATAATATTGTTGTGTGAGTGGAGAAGCCACACACGTGCGTGGCCAGCCAATCAGGGTGCGCATATGGGGTCGTATGGCTGGTCGACGGTGCGCACGCGACACACAAGTCCTTAAATGCCCAGCGAAGAGGGTCCCTCCGTGTGTCTCCCCAAATGCTGCCCTTCCGTGCAATCGCGCCTGCTGTCGACACACATGATCACATGGACATCTACGCGGCATCCTGCAATCCACCCCGCCGTGCAAAGCGTCTCCGCGCAGACTCAGACACCCCCGGACTCACTCGGGAGTCTGTGTCGTCACCCTGTCCTTCCAACCCGGACGAAGACGACGACGAGGACGAGGACGCCATCCCCCAGCCGCCCCCGCCCAAACGTCGCGGCAGAAAACCTGGCTCCATGTCCCGCGCAGCCCGCGAGGCCCAGCGCAAAATAAACCACTCCCTCATCGAAAAAGCACGCAGGACAAAGATCAACGACGCTCTGGCTACCTTGCGCCAGCTCGTCCCTGCTGATTACAAACGTGCTGCTTCTGCGTTCGATGATCATCAAGAAGACTCCGACGACGATAATCACGATCCCACCGCCGCCAGCAAAGCAAACCGACAGAAACCGAGAGTCTCGTCGTCAGGGGAAAAAGAGTTCAAGCTCGAGATCCTCGTTCGTACAGTCGCATACCTCCAGGTCTTGACCGAAAAGGTCAAGGCACTCGAGCGTGATGGCTGTCCACACTGCGAACGGCCCATCTCTGGCCTCACAGACGACAGCTCCCTCAGACGCTCCCACCCGGTGGCTGTTGCCGACGCGTACACACGTCCGTCAGAGCCCCCAAAACTCGCCTCTCCACCCTCGCGTCTTCCTTCCATTTCTACCTGGCTCCCCACTTTAACTCCGTCTCAGTCCCCATCGTGTGATCTCCCTGCTACTAGTGCAGATGCCGGTGGCAATAACCTTCCTTCGACCACTCACCTACCCACCCCTCCCACATCAGCCACTTTTCCCCCGTCATCAGCCATCGCTGCAGGTGCTCTTCCCCCCGCTCTCACGCTGCCTTCCCCAGGCACCTTTCTTCCTTCGGCCGTAAGAGGCTTCCCTTCTGGGTTTGCTCGTGCGACATCCTCGACGAACGTGAATGGTGCAGGGGGCACGAGTGGTGCGAACAAACCCGTGACGGTGAGTGGGACTAACAAGGGCTCGCCTGGCGCTTCTTCCCCCATGTACACCCCTGAGGACGAGACTGCTGCCTCGCTGTTGCTCCGCATGAGCACTTCTAACTCTCCCACATCCCCGCAGCACGCCTTTGGTCGGCTGCGCTCGTCCTCCTCGGCGTCCTCCCTCACCTCGCTATGGCCTTCTCTTCCCCCCCTCGAGTCCGCAACGACTGTCAGTACAGCAGATGCACTTAGCCAGGATTTCGAGTTGGTCCGGAGGTCCGACGCTCGGTTGACACCTGGTAGGCTGTTGGGATTGACGAGGAGATCCCCCGACGGGAGGTGAGTCCTGGTTGGGAATCTGTGATACTAGTTCTGATATGCACGCTACTAGACTGTAGTGGTGTGTATCGGTTGTACAACGGATTTTCCGAATGAATATGTATATCTACTGTAGTTTCTTCTTTGCACTATTTATCCGCTTTTTGTACTCCCCCTTCGTTGCAATCATACCACTGCTTTCCTTAATTACGTAAGACAGAGTTGGGATCCCCTTCTTTAGGATATCTGACCCCCCAATTTGGACAAATTATGGGAGACCCGCGACGAGCAAAAGCCATGTGCTTGACGTCGACGCTGTTCAGACAGCGGGCACTGGCAAAACCACCGTCGTCGTGTTGGCGGTGTCGTCACTCGATCTTTGTACGCGCAAGCTCGTCTACTGCGGACCATGGACGCGAGAACGGACGTTTAGAGGCTTCGAATGATACGTCTGTTGCAGACGACGTTTATACCCATGGTACTGACGGCATACATGGATCGAGTGTCAGCAGCACTGCTACTACCACGCTAGCTGATTTAGAGGCTGCGAGGCGAAATAGGAAGAGCGAGTGGAAACGACGGCAGGGGGTCAGTAGTATTGTTTTCTTTGCACTTGGAGTACTCATGTTCATGGCGGATGTATAGGGTCAATCATTCCTCGACCATTTGATTGTTACTGTTCGAGGTGGTGCGTATCACTTCTACTAAATCTTTCTCATCTTTCTTATATGCACATGAATCCATGTATACATAACTCATTCAACGGAACGCGTTGAAAAAACAGGTAAAGGTGGGAACGGCTGTGTCGCGTTCCACCGCGAAAAATTCAAACCCCTCGGACCTCCTTCAGGCGGAAACGGCGGATGCGGTTCAGACGTGTACATCCTCCCCACCCCCGCACTTACCACCCTATCGTCCGTGCCGCGACGCGTGCATGGGTTGCCCGGGGGATCCGGTCAAGGGACATGGCAGCACGGGAGGAATGCTGAGCCGACGGTTATTAGGGTGCCGGTGGGCACTGTGGTTAAGGAGCTGGGATACGACGATCCGAGGCGTGCGCCGGATGAGTGGGAGGCGGAGGACGAGGCACTCGGAGAGATCAGCGGCGAAGAGGAAAAGAAGGCGGCGTGGAGAGAGCGACGGTGGGTTCATTATCCCCGTTGGCAAGACGATAATCTCGAGCGAGACAGCGTTCAAGCAGGCGGAGAGGGCTGTGTGGAGGGAAGAGCGGGAGAGGAGGTGGATGAGGAGACAGAGGTATCTCGATCCGCTTTGGTTGGATCTGAGTACGGTAGAGAGCGAAGCGGATGTGAGGGAGCGGGATGTAGATGCGCCGCTGGGATTGGGGAAGAAAGAGTACCTGGGACACTTGGTCGCACGAGGTGGTGGTGGTGGGTTGGGCAATCCTAATTTCGTATCCCAAACATCCCGATCTCCCAAGTTCGCGACGAAAGGACAAGAAGGCGAACGTATCACGCTATCACTAGAGCTCAAGATCCTCGCCGATATCGGACTCGTGGGGATGCCGAATGCAGGGAAGAGCACGCTGCTGAGGGCGTTGACGGGTGGACGTGCGAAGACGGAGGTGGCGAGTTATGCGTTTACGACGTTGAACCCTGTCCTCGGAGTTATTCGTGTTGCGGACGATGGGACGTTTGAGGGGGAGTTTAGAGGTGTGAATGTGTTTGAGGAGACGGCGATCGAGGAGGAACGGGAGTTAGAGAGACAGCTCGTAACCTCTTCCTTCGTTCCGGACACATCTCCCTCGGACTCAGAGGTCGTCGCCGTCAATGATGAGGATAATGAGGATCAACAACCAGGTTTCCCCTTCGACATCCTCGAATCCTTCCGCTTCACCATATCCGATAATCCCGGTCTCATCGCGGGTGCATCGTCCAACGTCGGACTAGGACACTCATTCCTGCGCTCGCTGGAGCGGTCCCATGCGTTGGTATATGTCGTCGATTTGGCTGGCGACGTGCCGTGGGATGAGTTGAGAGCGTTGCGGGACGAGTTGGAGGCTTATTTGCCGGGGATGAGTAACAAGGCTCGGTTGGTGATTGCCAATAAGGCGGATTTGCTCGTTCCTCCGGGTGAGGGGGATAGTGGAGATGGTCATGAAGAAGCTGTTGAGAATGCGAAGGCGAAGTTGAGGCGGCTGGAGGAGTTTGTGAAGACGGAGATGGTGATCTCTGAGGGTGGGGAGATGACGATGGATGTTATACCGGTATCGGCAAAGTATGGACAGAATTTGAAGAAGGTGGTTTTGGCTATGAAGGGGTATGTGGAGGAAGCGAGGAGGGGGGCGTCGTAAGTGTGTGCGTACATCTATTGTGATTTTGGACAGTTGTAATGATGGATCCGTCCGATCTGCAGGGTGAAATATCTTTTGGGAACATGAAATTGGTCCATGCTCTGGTTCTCACTTTTCAGACTCATGATACGGAGGGGAAAAACTTGAATCACCCTACACGTTCTTCATGCAACGGAAGAGCTGGATAGGGGTCACACTGTGGCATCACAGCACGTGACAGTGAGACGGTTATGTAATTGTTTGTAGCCACACATTAATCCAAATAACCATCCTGACCATCACAAACAATTGTTGACTTGTCGCTTCTCTTGATCACTACATACGATTTTGTGCGCAACTTCGTGTCCGTTCCAAAGTTCTTGTCGATATGAAAGCCGACTACTGACACTATGGAGACGTGATACGAGTTTGGCACTACCGTCTTCAGGTTGCCTTGGATATTGTTCTTTTCTTTTCTTTCTTTTTTCGGGATATGGTTATGTTAGCTGCTGGCCAGCGTTGACTGCCTTCGATGCCACGTCCCCGCATGTGGTTGCGGGCAGAGCAACGATGGTCTCCTAGTCTCCAGCTAGTGGTGGCCGGTCCAGGGAGAGGCGTTTTGTTGTGCGTTCTTCACCATCAAGCGCGCGGTGCACTATCACGATAAGCGATTCGCAATGGATCACCGCTCGTTCGATGTTGTGCGGAATCACGGGCACGGAGTTTTGCAGAATTACTGTGTCAACGTCCTCTCCTTTTACTGCGTGCGTGCATCAGACTACTATGTTTTGTACTTGACCGTGCCTCGCACTTTCCAGCCAGTGCCCTAAACCCCAATTCACCCCTTTTTCGTGGTTACTCGTGGGCTCCTGTGTGATCGATCTGCGGCGCTGCATGGAGTTCATAGCTTCTCTACAGCATGTAGCCTGATTACGTGCCTCATGTCTGACCTTTGTGCGGACCTTAATCTTCTGGGGTATTTAAATAGGGTAGAACGTGTCATGTCGAGGTTTTAACCCCACTCTTTGCGCAGCCATGGATTCTGGTCCATCCAAGGACGCCTTTCATGACAGTGACAGCGAAGAAATACATGTGTATACCCCTCGAGACAAAGGAAAGCGAAAGGCGGATGGTGTGTAAATGTCATACTGACCAGCGACCTTGTCGTTGCTCACTGTTTCTTCCGTAGACTCTTTCGACAGCATATCTGCTGGGAAACCTGGCAGCTCTAGTTCTGCAACCGATATAGGCGGTCACAACCGCCCTTCTCATACCTCCTCTATGGCCCTGGATGCTCCAAGTGTGGATGCGAGTGACTCCGAGTCGACCATATCGATGGCCATCTCCGAGTCGCCCGCGTACAAGCGCCTCATGGCCGATGCCTCATCAAGTGATGAAGAATCGCTGTATGAGAGCTTGTACGAGTCAGCAGTTGATCAAGATGAAAAGTCGAAAGCAGCGACGGATGACGACGTGAGTGGATTCCCTTTATCCACCCAGCGATTATCAATAAGTTGATACGTAGATGGACGTCGATGCTCCTCTCCATACACTTAACCACCTTGATCTGGCCTCCTCTGTCAAAGGATTGTACAGGATCCTTGATCTGATTACCGAACAAGGCAGCGGCGGGCTGGGTAATGATTTTGCTCCTGATAACCGACCCCGGCGCTTATGCTTCCCTCAGTCGACAAGATCATCATCTCTCAAGATTCATTGAAAGCTTTCATCAATGGTGTTTGTCCTGGCGCATATGCGTCCCTGACGAAGGTTAATTTTAAGGCATTGGATCGGTATATTGTAAAACCCGTCGGCGTGTATGGAAGCAAAGAAGAGATCGTCCGATTCCTTTCAGAGCTTCAGGTTGTTGATGACGTTTTGTATGTTGTTTGCCCAATGCCGACTGCTCACCGTTCTTAACGATGCTTCTGCCTTTTGTTAGGGCTGCACAACTACTTGCAGACCCGAGTATTGCTGGACCAACGAAGCCCACCCTTCGATCAGGTCTCTACCTTCTTCGACCAACGGAACCGTATGGTCAAACGGAACAAATCTTCGTCGTATACTGGCCTCAGGAAAACACATGGGATGACTCTGCCGCCTCCCAAGTCCGCCGAAATCGTGTGACCTTCATGAGGTTCGTTCACGTCGCACAAATGTTTCTTTGTATGCATGCTTATGATTCACAGATACCTCACAAAAATGTGTGACCAGGTCGTTGCGTTAATCTCTTCCGCGCACGCACAGACTATTGTCTGGAATGACGGAGATGAGGATGATGACGAAGCCAGGGACGAAGATGATGAAGGAGATAGAATCATTAACTGTGTTGTGGACAGAACGACCGAGCAGGAAGAATCAGTGCAAGTGCGAGAAGGCTTTAAGGTATGGGTATGGGTTCTCGTACACCTTTACACTTCGAGACTCAAAAGGTTCGTCGCAAAGGTTCCATCTGGCTCCATCGCCTACGCGAACTCAGCGTCAGAAGCATCCGCGGAGCAATGCTCAACGAAACCATTTTTGCTCTTCGGGGAGACTGCTCAAGGTTTTATGACCATACGACACCAGCCGGCTAAACGCGTATCCGAGACTTTCAGGGCGCGGCCTTTCACAGCTCTGCAACTAGAAAGTTACCTGTAAGTGTCTGTTCGACTGTGCAACGGTGGCCTTGACAGCATCGATCGTCTTTAGCATGTCCGATCGCCTTTGCATCAGTGAATCACTGGATGATGATGCGTTGAATATACTACTCCGCAGTGGCCTGAGTAAACGTTTTCCTAGCGAATGTGACAAGTGGACACACGAGTCGACCGCCGTTGGAGCCCGATGCAAGAGAATGCAAACGGATGAATGGGCGAAAATGAGGGCTACTCTTAACAAAGAAGAAGAAAACTTAACTTTAGCAATCCACGAGGCCGTCGTGAACGCAGCTTTGGACTTATATCCGTAAGTCATTCAAATCTGGTGCATCGCTACATTTATTTATCGCCGGCTTACTGCAGTTTCCTCGAACGAGAATCATTTCCTCGTCCCGGAGCGCATCAAGCGGACACGCCAGGTGAGGGTCAGCACGGGCAAGCATGAGAAGTATTATCTTATTATATCTCAGTGTCCTTCCGGGAAATCGTCGAGCTTTATCCCAAAGCGGATGGGGTTTTTCAGCGGAACATCAAACCGGTGGCGAAGATCGATACCCGAAAGTTCAGAGACATTAAGGATCGGTTATGCCTTTTTGTCGAGTTTACTTCTCGTGCGGGCGAAATCAGTAAAAACAAGCGTCGCGAGATTGCGAAAGCTGCTGTGAAGGAAGGGTTTAAAGCCGCTCAAAATGCCCTGCGGGATGCTTTCAAAATTTCGCGCGCCGCCCGGCTCTATGATAACTACGTTGCACCGGTCTTCTCTGGTGCAAAAGAAGACACGAAGGCTGCTTTCGCAGAACGTATTCTCTGGGAAGCTCGTGACAAAGCGAACGATATCTCGGACAGCCGGTTCTTAAAGGACATTGTCAAGGCAGAAGTTATCCAGGAGGATTCAGAGTTGACAACTTTGGTCCACGAAGCAAATATCCTGGTACAACCGTACTTGGGCACTACGATACCCCATGTCGTGAAGAAACTTGTCGGGTCGATCAGAAACACTCAGGAAGACACAATAAGAGAAGGGATCAAAGCCGCTACTGAAAGCCGAGAGGAACAAGAGAAGCGCCAGCTCAGATTGCAATTAATTCGCCATGTTAATGATTCGACGAGCCAAACCCAGCCACCGTAGGTCCCGAAGCTTTCGAGTGGCCACTCGTTGACCATCCCCCAGACACACCCTCATCATCCAATCGGTTGAAGAGAATAAATCGTACTACTCGTACTATACCTCCTCAGCACAATGCAAAGTCTCGGGTGTGCGAGAGACCCAAGAGGATCCCATGACGTGTTTTACAATTCATACCATGAGCCTCACGGAGCAGGACAAACATGACTTACAGTTGGACGCATCCATCATTCCTTCACCCCGTTTTCGTTTCGAGCATAAATTCCGATTAACTCAGGGGTACACAGTTTTGTATGCATCCTTCCAACTCCCCAAAGTGCTATGTAAGATTTACCCATTGCTAGGCGTGCGCAGTTGCTCGACGGGGAGAAGTTACTGCTGATTGTCACAGACCGTGTTGGCAATTTGACGGTCTATCTCGATCACCTAACCGCTATCGATGCAGCGATTACACGAGGGCGCGGAAAAATTTTGAACCGCGAGAAGATCGGACAAGATTTCGTCTTGGCATTCGACGAGTCCAAGCGGATGCTAAGCATCCTCTCTTCCGACAAGGTACGTAGGTTGCCGACTCCGGATTCGACAGTAAGTCTCATGCGAGATCGTTTATTTGTAGCTGCTACTACACATCTTTGTGTACGACGACGCACGAGGTTTCCAAGCAGTGGGAAGTTCTATCAACTTGAACCCATGGTACAACGAAGGGACATCCATCCGTCACTCATGTTTTGTCAGTGGCAGTGAAGAGCTATTGCTCGTAGACTCTCAGGCGCAGGCTAGGATATACTCCCTGGTTACGATGCAGTTTCGGTCAGTTGAACGTGGTGCTCTACGAACCGGCGCTCAGTAGCTTGACAGACCCGCGACTCTCAACCTCCACCACGTCCCGTCAAGCGTACATTCCGCACCAGACGGGTCGTGTGTACTGGTTTCACATGAGAATGGAACTGGCCATGCACTGACCGCGTATCACTGGGATTCTTTTGGATCGACAGAGGGCATCGAGCTTAACGTGCCCAGCCTTCCAGTTGGCGAGCCGTTCGTGGTCACATCACTAGTCTCCAAGTCGGCCGTTCACCTTTTGTGGCTTGACTTTTCTGCTGGGCGATGTCAATCTTATGCGTTGGACATCACCCGCCGGGTTACCGAGTTCATGTTCCGAGAGAGGATTGGTCGCAATGGGTCCAGACGAACGGAAAATACGACAGCGCACAATTGCCTGGTAGACTGTCACTCGGAGGTCTGGATTCGTTTCCCAGTCCTCGCTGCGGTGCAACGGGAGACTATTTCCTCTGCCAGTCTTCGGAGCCAGAGAAGTCTGGTCTTCGTTACCGACCGTGACTTTCAAATGTTTGCACAGCATTTTTCCGATATGATCTACAATTTCGAGCGCACGAGTAAGAAGCCTACTGGTGATGTCCTCAAATCTGTCAAGGTATCAGCTGCCGCCTTTTCTGTCTTCGTGCAAGAGCTATGCGGCACCACTCCATGGAACGTCTCGCAGTATAGGGCAGGCGAATGGATTGTCGATTTCCTGTGTCTGATCCCAATTCACATCGCGTTGACTAAAGAAAATCGCTTTATCCCGCTCAAAGATGGCGTATATTCCACAGAGTTGGAAGAGATCACTTTTGGGTGCCGAGGTGAATCGCATCGTAGACAGTATCTCCTTCGGGTGGTATGAGTCTCTCTTTCAGTCCTATATGGCAACCAAGGTAATACTTATTTGATGTTCCCGGATCTTGCTTACAACCTGACAGCCCGTTCGAGTGGTGTCTTCCATGGGAGAACAATCTGTTGGGAAGAGTTATGCTCTTAATCATCTCGTCGACACATCATTTGCGGGATCTGCGATGCGTACGACTGAGGGTGTCTGGATGTCTGTCACGCCAACAGAGAAGGAGCTCATTGTAGCTCTAGATTTTGAAGGTTCGTCAACCGTCGTTCGTTCGTTGTATTTTTCTCAGTACCCATCCCCTTTTTTCAGGTGTCCACAGTATCGAACGGTCGGCTCAAGAAGATACACTACTCGTCCTTTTTAACACTGCAATCTCAAATCTAGTAAGCTTGTTCCTATAGCGAAGAAAACATAGACGAGAATGACCTGTCTCTAGGTCCTTTTCCGCAATAACTTCGCACTCAGTCGTGATATCGCAGGGTTATTCCAGTCCTTCCAGTCTAGTGCTACTGTTCTGGATCCTGCTGCAAATCCGTCACTATTCCAATCGACTCTGGTTATCATTATCAAGGTACGCCGCGCTTGCGACAATTGGACTTTAATGCCTGATGATCAATTTCAGGATGTTGTTGAGGCGGACAGATCGGAGATAGCTAGAGAGTTAGTTCATATTACAGCTGTGGGGATTCCCTCAATTAATGAGCTGCCAGATTCACTCTGAAGTTCCAACGAATTGTTCAAGATGAACAAGAAGCGAACTTCATCACTCGACTTCATGCAGGAAAACTGGCGATCATTCCTTGGTGCGCATTGCAAGTGGAGTTGTAGGAGATGTAGTCTAATTCCTTATAGGCCCGTCATTGAATCTAAGGAATTCTACAAACTATTCCCAACGCTAAAGCGGCGCTTGGATCAGCAAGTCGTAACGCACCATGCCGCTGGCGAATTCCTTCACAAGGTGAAAACGTTGATGGCGAAGCTCAAGGTTAGTATAACTACTTGCAGGATGACTGGTTTTAATCATTACTGCATCAGGCCAATGATTGGGGGGCAATGTCGCGTGCGTTTGTATGTACTGGTGACTTAGTACCACTCATTTTTTCCCAGAGACTATGGCATCTCATCGGGCGCAACTCCTGTCATCGTTGCTTGCGAATGCATTAGCTTTTGGCTTCCAGGAAGTCCATCCTGAGCGAGAGCCGCTGAAGGTAGCTCCTATCCACCTCTGTCTTGAAAGTTCTAATTGTCCTTAGAACCTTGACACTGATATGCCTTTGGAGCTGCCTGACACTGAATCGCATTTATTCCTCACAGTTGGAATGGCCCCGCAGTCAGAAGTTCGTGAGCAAGCACTGACGACTCTTCAGTGTTCCTGGGAACGTTATCACGACCGTCAACACAGCCCTGATTCAGAGTGGGTGGAGGCCCTGTCCCAATACCTCGAGGGCATCGTTAATCTACGAATCGACCATGTGCAAGAATGGCTTTCGCAGAATTTGGCGCGTTTCCAGACGGGCCACGCAAGTATCGAGGAACTTCGACGGAACTTCGACGGTGCCACCGTCGATCTGAAGAGCAACGTACAGCTTTGCAAGTTACAATGCGCGAACTGCCAATTGTTGTGCATTCAGAGTCGCCTCCACGACGGCCCTCATTCTTGTCAAACTAATCACCTCTGCATTCACCAATGCGATTTCTGTCTAGAAACCAATGGCGAGCTCCGAGAGTGTGGCATGGCCGCAGGACATGCAGGGAAACACATGTAAGCATTTACTTCTACCTAATTATCACAGTTGCGTATATCCAGTACGTACACAGATGTGTTGTCACAGCTCACCTGTGTGGCAAACCCTGCAAGTTCGAAGGCAGGTCCGGATGCCTTCACGAGTGCATTAAAGTAGGGTTTTCTCGTCATACCAATTGTAGCTTGCAGTTCAGATATCGTAGGTTTTTGATCACGACGACGAACATCTGTGCGCTGCCTCAGTGCATGCTTGCGGAAAGGCGAGTCCCTTGCTCTGGCGATATGAACATGTATTGATTTCCCTTGTAACAGCCGTGTAGTTTATCTGGTCTTAAACTTGCTGACGGATCGGATTATTCGTGCCCCGGTTTTTGTCGAATCCCAAGGTGAGTCTACCAGGGTCCCTGGATTCCGGAAGCTGATAGATCATCAGTGACATTGATCATTTTCGTCACGAATGTGAAGCTCGTCTCTGCTCGGTCACTTGTCAGCTCTGCAAGCGGCTATGTTCTGATCAAGATCACATGCATGGTTTAGAAGACGGTGCAGTTCATCTTTGCGGGTGGGTTGATACAGTTACATCTGTCAACGATCGGCACAAGGCTAATATTACCCTGCCGTTGAACAGGCAAGAGCATCTCTGTACAGCTATGTGTTCTGCGCAGGGCATATGTGAAATTGAAACGGCACCACATTCGATCGAAGCAACTTTTACGGGTAAGCACGAAACTTTTCAATATACGAAGGTAGGCCGCTCAACACGTTTGAGTCGACGCATTTCTAACATGCCCACGACCTACCTATGCCAGTACTCGCAAGGTGAGCTGCATCGTGGTGCCGAAATAAACTCAGCTTACGTGGTGTAGTGGCAAAGCGACTGAAGTGTGTTAAACTGGTTCCACCCGGTGCAACAAAACACAGGGGTTCCCATAATCACAGTCTCGATAAAAAAATTATTCACTTTTGCGAAGCTAGGCAAGTCTTGATGCTCTTTCTATTACCTCTATCTCCAGTCATTCAACCGGTTCAATTTTGCAGGTGCGAAAATTGCGGGTATTTCTGTACATTACCGCTTGGTAGGATCAGTTTACATTATCCCTTGCCACGTCCTGATAGGTAGTGTTTAGGCCACCCTCAACAAGAGCATGAAACACGTCACGGCTCTATGTCCCGCACACGATGGACTGTAGATGGACCTGATGATGCAGCGGTACTCGAAATTGAAGGGAGGAGATTCTCTACAAACGACGAGGGAGCTCCAATGATGTGCAATCTTGTGTGCCAGGCAATGGGTCGTCACGCGCATATTGACTACTGTCGCTCTGATGAGGAAGCAGCCTGCATTGGCAATGACGAAATTCAGCACATCATGAAGCGCCTGCGACCTAACCCCGACCGCCCAAAGGACTACGTTACCCACAACTTAATCTGGAAAAGGAGTGGTGAGTATGCACATTGGAAATGAATTGCATGTGTTGATGCAATGCTTTCAAGGTTTCAAAGATCCTTACTCAAAAGAAGAGCAAACAGTATTTGCCAAATGGTAGGTTGCTCAGGTAGTCGAGTAACACCAAATGCTGATTTTCTGCAGTGATGCTATGTGCAGTGGTAAGCTAAGTGGTTTCAATCTTGAGATTACTCTCGTGACCCAGGAAACAGGCCCAGAACACGCCGGTGATGCGGGGAATCTTGCTCAACCCTCCTATTGCACGTTACCGATGTTCCATCCACCAGCGGATGTGAATGCCGGTGCACCAGCTGTGGGATACATATCCAACGATGGTCATCATTTTGCTTGTCGTAACCCTGTCGTTATGCAGCAGGCGTTCCACGTGTAGGTATTTACATAGTTTTCGCGTGACCCAAGTTGACCCCATCGCCAGGATATTTGTCGCGGACCGGTGAAATGATACTCCCAACTCAACATGACCCTCACGCTGACTCCCTTTTCAGGTCTGGCTCCATGTCGTACAATGATCGCCGGCCGTTGCAAAATACTCCAGCCTCAGCCAGAATCTGTGCCCGTTCAGACAACAGAATTGGGGCAGTTCTCTCCTCATTGTTTAGTTTCTGGTCTGCCCGTGCAGCAGCCATCGGATCAAGTGCCAATGCGGCTCGCAGAGACGCCTATAGTGTTATCCTGTTCCATCATGAGACAGTAACTGTCATTGAAAACGACTTGACAAGCAATCCAGACCAATTGCTAGATATGCTCTTGCCCTATGAGGCGGATGGTGGGACTAACTACACAGCAGCGGTTATCACTGCTCAAGGTGTTCTGGAGCGAAATTGGAGTACTGAGAGGTAAAGGAACGGTCTTCGGCCCAACTCCAACTGACCCATGAATGTATCGTTTCTCAGGTCTCCTGTCATCATCTTCCTTTCGGATGGAGAGTGCAGCATTACAGACCAGACTATGCAAGACTTATGCCGGTCATCCATTCGGCTTGGGTGCGATCCCACGTCTTGCACGTTCTTTCCTCCTATCATTACTCATGACCCCTTGCAGAAAGGCGGTGTCCTTCCATGCAGTATCATTTGGTCCGGATGCATCCTCGGTATACCTACGGAGAATGGCAGAAATAGCGCTGGACGCCCAGAACAATGCTCCGAGGGACCCACTCGCGCCGGCTGCTGCGACAGTCAATTCGTCGTACAACCAAGCCCTAGACTCGGTATATAGTTTCGTGTTTGCCGAGTACTTTTCGCTGACGAACCCTACTAGGTTCAACTTGCAGAGACCTTCCTTGGAATTGCGGAGTCGCTGAGGAAGCCCAGAGGGGCATTAATGCATTAAGATATTCCGCGGCCCACAGCCCTACGGGCGTCCGCGACGGTTCCTATTCTCCGCGTTGTATTTTATAGAAGAGAATGAGGTTGAGTGTAATGAAGGTGTTTGCACGGAACCTCAAGGAGTGTGTTCCGAAAAGAAGGCATGCGGAGTGCGCTGAGTGCTAAGTTGCGAGGAGGCTTCCACTGCGGTCGTCGCGGAGCCTTGAGTGAATTTTGGACAGTTCGACAGGCACTACAAACGATTCCCACGCGTAAACAACGACCCCAGCCTACTTTACAACTTTCGACTGTTAAATACTTTTATCTTGTTTCTCTCAGTCCCTATGACCCAGCAACACAGATTGGTTTTATAACTTTGACCGTGTCTCTGTGATGGAGTGAGTATTTGATGTGGCAAAGGAGCCTTCACCCGAATCTTGATACTTGCGGCGTGATACGGCATGCCTCCAAATGCAAAGTTCCGTCGGACATGCTGGTGCGTTGATTCGGTCTTCGTCATCCAACGGAGTTGGTCTTGTCTCATACGATGTTCGATAGCGGAAGGTCCGGAATCCAGATACGCACTGTAGTTCAACATTTCGATGCACAAATAAGCATCAAAGAGTTGCGTCCTGCATCCTCAGAGATCTGGACTCTGAGCATCTTCCCTCGCTTTCAGCTCTCTCAGTTTCTCGTTTTCTTTTTGGTTCTGGAGCTGTGCTTCCCTGCGAGTTTACGGGACTCCGCCCAATGGATCTGCGTCACTGAATTAGGTTCTATTCTTTACTGCGTGTTTGATGTCCGCCTCGTGTATAACCTGCACGGACCCTATCCTTATCTTCCCCTACCGCTTTTAACTGAGGGAGCCTTGGACTTTCACCCTTCGGTTCACCCTCTACCTTTCCTCCACTATGGACGATTCTTCATTCAGGCCACCAAATCTATTTAGTAACACTGACAACGGACGATCTCCCGATCAAGCACTTCTGGACGAAGAAAATGGAAGAGCTGATGGTATTTTGACCTTGATCGAGGGGCCGTCCGTCGCTGATCTGCCACCTCTAGACATCGAATTGGACGGAGATTGGTCTGATTCCAGCACAGAAACAGATGCACCGCCGCTCGAACACCATATCCAGATGCCTTCTAGTTCTCAGTTGCAAACGCAGTCGTCTACGGCAGCGAGTAACAATCAGAGTGATCCGAGTATCCCGGACGATGTGGATGATGCTGCTAGTGAAGAGAGTTTGTACGAGTCAGCGCACTCGGATACTCCTAACTTAGCGAAGGATCATGAGGTGTGTCAACTCTCGCTGTTGTCGTATTGCCATTGAGGTGTTCACCAGATGAGTACTGATGAACCCTCTGTCGACCCATTCGACAATAAAGATCTGGAACAATCCATTCCAGGATTATATAGGATCCTGGATCTAGTTACCGAACAGGGAAGCGGTGGGCTCGGTATGGTCTTTCCCGCCATGATGGGGCTTACGCTTACGCTTTCTCAAGTGGATAAGATCATTATATCTCAAAACTCGCTTAAAACATTCATCAATACTATTAGTCCAGGCGCCTACCTGTCCATGACGAAGGTCAATTTCAAAATGTTGGACCAATCCACCATCAAACCTGTAGGCATTTACGGCAGTAAGGAAGAGATAGTCCGTTTCCTCTTGAGGCTTCATGCCGTCGATGATACTATGTAAGTTGTACCTGATCTTGGTTGTGCCAGCGGCATTTCATGACAGATTCCACTTTGTAGAGCTACTCACCTACTATCTGAATCGAGTACTACCGAAGCCCATCCGACACTTCGCTCGGGGTTGTACATCCTTCGTTCAAGCGCTGCTGAGCCTAACGGATCCGAACAAATGTATGTCATCTACTGGCCAGAGCAAAATACGTGGAACGACTCAGCACTATCGCAAGTTCGCCGCAATCGGGTGGCATTTATGAGGTAGTCATACGTTGTTTACGTACCCTCAAGTACTTGACATTTTGTGCAGGTACCTCACACGAATGTGTGATCAGATTGTCGCATTGGTGTCGTCAGAACACGCTCGAAGAATGGTGTGGAGCGAGATCGGTGACAATGGCGATGACGATGACGATTGTGTCGACGAGGATGACGAAAATGACCGAATCATCAGGTGTGTCGTGCAAAGGACAACCGAGCAGGAAGAGTCGGTGCAAGTTCGTGAAGGATTCAAGGTGAATTTCGCGTTTTGAGTCAAGCCCACTCGAGTTAAGTTTTTTAGATAACTTCGGAACATATATCCCAGACAGAGCCATCCGAGTGTGGAGAGCAGTGCTCCGTAAAACCCTTTCTGCTTTTGGGAGAGGCGGCGCAGGGCTTTGTGACTGTGCAACATCATCCCCCTAAACGTGTTATCGAAACGCTCAAGGGTCGCTCCTTCAATGCCATTCAACTGGAAGACTACTTGTACGTGTATTTACCATACCTCAGCATCTCACCTCATGTGCTTGTCCGCCATGCAGAATATCCGATAGCTTAGATATCAGTGAAACCCTCGATGACAAAGGGCTTCGGATACTGGTTGATGTTGGCCTTCGAAAGCGCTGTCCTCAGGAATGTGTGAACTGGGAACACCAGTCTACAGCAATTCAGGAACGTTATAAGAAGATCTTCGATGATAGGTTCCGGAAAGCTAAAGACGAGTTGGTTAAAGTAACCGAAAGCCTGAGTAGTGCTGCATACAATGCTGTTATTGATGATGTGGTGGCACTATACCCGTAAGTAATGACGTTTATCTTAGGGCGGCATCATGATTCATTCTTACGTTGTCAAGGTTCATCGACAAGCAAGCATTCCAGTATACAGGCTCCGGTACTGAGGATCCACCAGGTATGGTTCATTGGTATACGTTCCATATTTCAGAAAATGTTCATTATGTGTTTGTAGTGGTTTCATTTTCGCAAATCACCGATACCTATCCGGATGCAAGCAGGGTTTTTCAGCGCAACATTCAAGATTGCCATGTAATTTCGGATCGCGAGTTCCGGGCTACGAAGGATCGGTTGTGCCTTCTTGTAGAGTTGGCATCCCGAACAAAAGGTCTAGGCAGTGGCGTGCGGGACCCAATCTTGCGTGCAACCTTCATTGGTGGATTTCGAGAGGCAGAGAAAGTGGCTAAATCTTTGTCTATGGGTTCAGCAAGCAAACTCAAGATGATCCTTGACTACTGTGACAAGTTGATGAACAGCGGTTTGGCCCCGCAGACCAACACTCATTCTATAGATAGTGTCCTCAAAGAAGCCCACGAGGCGGCGCTAAAGGTCACAGATAGTGAGTTCTTTCAGATCGTCGCGAAGAAAAAGAAAGTCCAGGAGAGGGAACAGTTAGTACGGAACTTGTTGAAAAAGCAAGACAGAAAGCGAAGTCATACTTTGAATACACCATCCCCCGTGTCGTCATGAAAATTGTTTCGTCATTCAAAGGGATCCAGGAGGTAGGCTGCCGTGCGAAAATCAAGGCCGAGTGCTCTAGCCAAGAGGATCAAGAGCGATACAAGTATAGATTACAATTGATCCAGCACGTCAATAACTCGTCCGCTCAAGTACAGTGCAGGTGAGGCCAGAATTTTAATCCATTCTTCGACATCGTCAAACTCTTATAGGCACACTTTGCGAATTGATTCCGTTGAAGAAGAAAAGAAGGCTTGGGCGATTCCTAAAACATACAGGCTCTGGGGCCTGCGAGAATCCCAGGAAGATCCAGTGACGTGTTACACGGTCCATCCCATGAATGTGACGGAGGAGGACAAGCACAACCTGCAATTAGATCCCTCCAGTATCCCTTCACCTCGCTTCAGGTTTCAGCATCCATTCGAGTTACCTCTTGGGCATACAATCTTGTAGGCCCTACGCCTTGGATTTTCTGCTCTTCCTGATCTGAATGCATGGTCCGTAGACGTGCGCAGCTTCTTGAAAGAGAGAGGCTGCTCTTAATTGTCGCGGACCGGGTTGGGAACATATTTGTGTATCTTGAAACTCTCACCGCCATGCACGGTGCCATACAGCGTGGGCATTGTAAGGCCCTGAAACGGGAAAAGATTGGCCAGGATTTCCATATCGCCTTCGACGAGTCAAAGCGGATGTTGGCTGTTGTTTCGTCAGACAAGGTTTGCAGATTCTCATTCCATTCACAATGCCTGAAACAAGGATGATCGATGAAACCATGTATCGCAGCTTCTATTGCATGTATTTGTATACGGTGACGTGCGAGGATTTCAAGCCCAGGGGAGCGCCATTAACTTGGGTCCTTGGTATGGCGAAGGAGTGCGCATCCGTCACGCCTGCTTTATATGTGGTAGCGAAGAAATACTACTGGTGGACTCTCAAGCCCAGGCTAGAGTGTTCTCATTGGTAACCATGCAATTCCGGTGAGTCAAGCCTCATACTTGTTGAGTTTTATCCTGCATACCAAATGTCAATAGACCTGCGGTTCTTAGCCTACCTCAAGTCCCAACCGGCGTGCATTGCACACCCGATGGGTCCTGCGTATTGGTTCTTCAACCCCATGAGTCTGAGCTAGCAGTAACCGCTTACCACTGGAGTTCTTTCGGTTCCACGGAGGGCATATCACTCAACATTCCCGATCTTCCTGTTGGCGAACCCCTCGTAGTCACCTCGCTTATCAAACGCACAGCGGTTCATTTGCTGAAGCTCGATTTATCCACTCGCTGCTGCCAGTCGTATGCGCTCGACATTACTCGACGGCATACCGAATTCATGTTCCGTGAGCGGGTCAACCGCAATTCTACATCAGAGAGAGCACACGAAACCGCTCATAACTGCCTCATCGACTGTCACTCAGAGGTGTGGACTCGCTTTCCTGTATGCGCAGCAGTGCCACGAGAGACTATATCCTCTGCCAGTCTCAGAGGCCAGAAAAGCCTCGTGTTTGTTACGGATCGTAGCTTTGACATGTTCGCTCCTCATTTCTCTCAGATGATTCACTCTTTCGAACGCACGGCAAAGAAACCTACTGGAAATGCCCTCAAATCGGTGAAGGTGTCCGCTGCCTCATTCGACGTCTTTGCACAGGAGTTATGCGATGGTGCTACATGGAACGTCTCACAGTATCGGGCGGGCGAATGGATCGTTGATTTCTTGTGTTTGATTCCGATCCACATAGCGGTGACCAAGGACAATCGCTTCATCCCTCTAAAAGACGGTGTATATTCACCAAGCTTGGAGAGGGAATTACTGGGAGCAGGCATTAACCGCATCGTAGACAATATTTCTTTCGGATGGTATGAGTCGCTCTTTCAGTCTTACATGGCAACGAAGGTAGCTTCCTTGTCTCATACAATGTTTCTAACTAACAAAGACCAGCCTGTCAGAGTGGTGTCGTCCATGGGAGAACAATCTGTTGGAAAGAGTTATGCTCTGAACCACCTCGTGGATACTTCATTTGCTGGCTCCGCGATGCGTACGACGGAGGGCGTTTGGATGTCAGTCACCCCAACAGAGAAAGAGCTAATCGTAGCTCTAGACTTCGAAGGTTTGTCAATTCAAATCACGTCCGCTCGCAATTGTGCAGATTGTTTTCGTTTAGGTGTTCATAGTATCGAACGATCAGCGCAAGAAGACACGCTACTTGTATTATTCAACACTGCTATCTCAAATTTAGTGAGCGTGTTGCTACGAGAATGGGAACATAGCTAACACCTCTGCAGGTCTTGTTTCGTAACAATTTTGCACTAAGTCGCGATATTACAGGGTTGTTCCAATCCTTCCAGTCTAGCGCTACTGTTCTAGATCCGGCAGAAAACCCTTCGTTATTCCAGTCAACTTTAGTAATCATCATCAAGGTATGCGGTCCGGTCAAGTGGACATGTCAAAAACTGAAATTCATTCTCAGGATGTCGTTGAGGCGGACAAAGTAGAAATAGGCAGAGAGTAAGTCAGCTCTGTGCAAGCCTTTCCTTGATCGGTTCATCTATTGAATGAAAAGGTTCTCTCTGAAGTTCGAGAAGATTGTTCAGGACGAACAAGAGGCGAACTTCATCACTCGTCTGCATGCAGGTCGATTAAACATCATTCCTTGGTGCGTCTGTATTGGGACCATGTGGCTGCGCATGCTCATTTCTCGGCAGGCCTGTCATTGAATCCAAAGAATTCTATAAGCTATTCACTAAGTTGAAAAGATGCCTGGATCAGCAACCAGTTACGCACCCCGCCGCAGGCGAATTCCTCCACAAGATGAAAACGCTGATGGCGAAACTTAAGGTACGCATTCAGGTACCAGTGGTCATTTCCTTGTTAAAATGGTATTAGGCCAATGATTGGGGAGCTATGTCTCGTATGTCTTGCCCTTGGTGCTCGTGTGCAACTCTCATAAGCTCTTCACAGAAACCATGGCATCCCATCGAGCCCAGCTTTTGCTGTCATTGCTTCCGAATGCATTGATATATGGTCTGCAAGAGGTCGCTCCTGAGCCAGAGCCTCTGAAGGTAACTAATCTATATGCGACACCTGGAACGTCTAATTAAGCAGCCAATATAGATCATCGACACTGATACTCCTATCCAATTTCCGGATACACAGTCGAGACTGTTCCTTGGGGTCGGAGGGTTTTCACAATCAGAGACTCGCGAGCAAGTCCTTAAGGTCTTGCGCAAATCCTGGGATCGGAACGAAATGCGTCAGCACCTTTCGGATCCTGAATGGGCAGATGGTCTTTCCCAATATCTTGAACAGATCGTCAACTTGCGTATCGACCATGTGCGTGAATGGCTGACACAAAACCTGTCCCGTTTCCAGACGGGACATGCTAGCATCGAGGAGTTACGAAGAACATTTGAGAATGCTTCAGTCGATCTGAGGAGCAACGTTCAACTCTGCAGATTGCAATGCGCGAGTTGCCAATTGCTGTGCATTCAGAGTCGCTTGCACGATGGCCCACACAACTGCCGCACCGATCACGCCTGCATCCACCAATGTGATTTCTGCAAGGAAGGCACTGGCGAGAACAGAGCATGCTCTATGATGTGAGTTCTTCATGGCAAACTGACTTCATGCTTACCGTTTTTACCGGTGGTAGTGGTGGTCACGCAGGAAAGCATATGTAAGATGACATTAACCTTTGTCCGTGGTTGGTATCTTACCATCAACACATAGTTGCGTCGTGAATGCTCACCTGTGTGGGAAACCTTGCAAGTTCGCGGGCAAATTTGGTTGTCTCCATCAGTGCACCAAAGTAAGTACCCTTTACCGCAACTCAACCCCTCATTCATCTCTCGCAGGTCACCGATCACCCGGACGAACATTTATGTGCTGCTCTAGTCCATGGGTGTGGAGAGGTGAACGCTTTGCTGCCGTCTATTATTCCCGTTTCTCAGTTTGGACATATCACTTAGCCTTGTGATTTGTCTGGGATCAAGCTCATTGACGGGTCGACATATGCATGCCCTGGGACCTGTCGCGTACCAAGGTAAGGCAGCTTGAGGGACGAATGCGGAGGCTTATGCCCTTCTAGCGACATCGCTCATGCCCGTCATCGTTGTGAAGCGCGCCTCTGCTCTATTACGTGTCAACTGTGCAAGCGGCTTTGTTCTCATCACGATCATATGCATGGGTTAGAGGAAGGAGCAATTCACCTCTGCGGGTGGGTCGGCCGAAGTCCTGTATTAAGTCACTTTAATGATGATACAGCGAGGAACATCTTTGCTCTGTCGACTGCTCTGTCCCCGGGATATGTGAGATCGAGACTGCACCATATTCCATCGAGGCTACTTTCACAGGCAGACATGAAACCTTTCAATATACGAAGGTAACTGTTATTATCCGTTTCGCGTATGGAGGGACTAGCGCTGATGGACCGGTCCTCTAGTACTCTCAAGGTTCATTTGGTTTCTTTGCGCAATATTGTATTGCTCTGACATGCGACAGTTGCCAAACGGCTCAAATGTGCCAAGTCAATCCCACCTGGCCAAATAAAGCACGTCGGTGCACACAATCACAGTCTTGATAAGAAAGTTGTTCATTTCTGCCAAAATAAGTCAGTTGCTTTTGTTTGCCGAAAAGGGGTGTCGATGACCCGAACGGCTCCCCAGGTGCGACAATTGTGGTTACTTCTGCATACTACCGCTTGGTATGAGTGTCCATGTTGACATGCGGATTCAATAACCAAATTGGATGGAAAGGCCATCCTCAACAAGAACATGAGACACGCCACGGTTCCATGTCTAGCACGCGGTGGATTGTGGATGAATCTGATGACGCTGCTGCCCTCGAAGTCGAAGGCCGAAAATTTTCCACTGATGACGAGGGTGCTCCTATGATGTGCAATCTTGTGTGTCAGGCGATAGGGTCGCCACGTGCATATCGATTACTGTCGCGCTGATGACCCAGCTGCTTGCACTGGACGCGACGAGATTGAGCACATTGCGAAGCGTCTACTACCCGATCCTGACCGTCCCAAGGATTACATCACTCACAGTCTATTCTGGAAAAAGAGCGGTGCGTATAACCCCTGTAAGTAACCGAAGAAAATGGATAATCTGAAATCTTTTACAAGGTTTCAAAGACCCTTATTCTAAGGAAGAGCAAGCCAATTTCGCTAAATGGTAGGTTCCCTTTGTTGTATCGCATATATCAAGTAAAGTGACACGCAATTTCGACAGTGATGCTATGTGCAGTGGTGTGTCCCATCGATTTTCACGCTCTGGGCATATCTGGTGATCATGAAGCAGGCCCGGAACATGCTGGCGATGCTGGGACGCTTCCTCAACCATCGTACTGTACACTGGCAATGTTCCATCAACTCTCGGATCCGCACGGAGCTGCACCTGCTATTGGGCATGTATCCAGTGACGGTCACCACTTTACTTGTCGAAATCCTGTTGTGATGCAACATGCATACCATGTGTACGCCAACGATTCTGTTTCTCTAGTTGGGCCAACTAACTAGCTTCTCATTCCTCAGCATATTCATTGCGGACCGGTGAGAGCTACGATTAGTGTTCTGCCGCAGTACGGTTAATCCCATCCAGGTCTGGCTCTATGGCCTCCCAGGATAAAAAGCCATTGCCAAACACCCCAGCATCTGGAAAAATTTCTGCGCGCTCAAACAACAGATTCGGTGCGGTGCTATCCTCGCTCTACGGCTTCTGGTCTGCTCGTTCAGCTGCAATTGGATCAAGTGCTAGCACAGCTCGCAGAGACGCGTATAGTGTTATTCTGTTCAATAGCCATGTCACGCCTATTATCGAAAACGACTTCACGAGTGACGCCAATCAATTGCTTGATGTCGTCTTACCTCATGCGGCGAACGGTGGGACCAATTTTACTGCAGCGATAACTAGTGCTGCGAGTGTCATGGAGAGACACTGGAGCACAGAGAGGTGAATGCGTAATCTGGGGGTACTTGTAGACTCGCTTATGGATGGTGACTTTTCAGATCTCCCGTCATCATCTTTCTTTCCGACGGCGAGTGCCAGATTGCAGACCAGACTATGCAAGACTTGTGTCGTACTTCTGTTCGTCTTGGGTACTGGAATCTACTTTCTTGTCTGGTTTCGTCATTTTTATGAACATCTTGCAGGAAAGCTGTCTCTTTTCATGCTGTTTCGTTTGGCCGAGATAGCCAAAGTGTAGGTTCAAGTAATGTGAACCGTCGACAAATCACGTCGTCGACTTCCTTGCGTAGAATGGTGCAAATTGCCCAAGACACTCAGAACAATGCACCCAGGGATCCACTCGCGCCTGCCTCTGTGACAGTAATGTCCTCGTACACCGACGCGCTAGATACCGTACGCTCTTCGCTTATATCGCTGATGTTTACGTCTTATTGATCTATCCTAACCATAAACTAGGTACAGCTCGCTGAGACATTCCTCGGGATTGCGGAGTCATTGCGGAAACCGAGAGGGTCATTGATGCAACTGAATAATCGCCGTACTTGATGTTTGTTTTCATAGCATGCAGGATGTAGTCACTTTCCAGGTGTACTTAAATGCAGTGGCCCAATACGGGAGTTAGTCTGGTGACCAGACTGGTACTACTGGGCACAGGCGTGGCAGAGAACGGAACGCGCATGGATATTAGCTGGCATCACGTGACGTCCACGTCCATGCATAATGTCGTATTATGTAAGGCGCAATTCAGTAGCCCGAATTGGACACCAACAACTTTAACCCGGAAGTCAGGTCATGACTCGATGAGTCTCCACCGCCTGCTCGTGCTCCTCTTCCAGAATTCCAGGGGTCGCACTCACTAGAATGTGGCTGCCAATGCGCCTCTACTCTACCCTTCACCAATGAGGTTGTTCATGTCCAGCGTACTTCATGAATGCTGCATCTATTAAGGCTTCGATCTCCATACGAGGTTGAAATTGAAATGCATGACTTCCCAGTGGGAAGCTGAGTCGAACTGCTTGCAACCTATCGTAGTTTCGAGGCCTCCCGCGTCGTCTTATCTAGCGTGTCCCTCGCCCACGCTGGTATAGTTTATCAGCCTCCCGAACAATCAACTTTAGCGTACCTTCCCCTTGAAAAAGTCGCAGTCAATGCGCGGATGGTCAATGGTTCATCTCACTCAGCTCATCCTTGCAATAACCCTTGAACTGATGCGTGGCGGCCACAGTTTCGGCGTGGTTAGTCCTAACTCAAGTATTCCAGAATGAATCAGATAGGCCTACGGCAGAGCCAAGTACTTCTTCCCACTTCATGAGCGACTGGCCACCTGTGCTTTCGAACTTGAACATGCCGATGGATGCATGATCATTGACATGGTGGAAAAAAGCGAAGTTGCGGCACGGACTCTCGAAGCAGCGGCTGCAGCAGGGAAAACCCTTGCACTAGTCGAGTGGGTAACAGACGATAGTCAGTTGGTATATTACTCATCGGCATCTTACACTCAACCACTTTCTGTAGTCCTCGCTATATCGGTGGTTCCATTCCTGCAGGGTAACACGCAACTACTTGTATCACGGTATGTTTCTCATCACCTCTGAGTTTTCGGGCTCCTCCCTGAGCCATTTCCTGCATTCTTGAAGTTTATCATGCATCTTCTCACTGAAAGCGTGCGAGACCCCCTGCGTCTCCAACTTTCTTTGGTTATCTTCGAGCGGTATGGCCCTCCCCCTGACTCGATGGGCACTGCCTCTGCGACAAGTGACACTCGCATCGATATCAAGCTGACATTCAACCAAGTAACATTATACATGTGATACACAGTTTCATTCAACCCATCAAGGTGCTATGGTACAAGACGTGCATTGGGCACAAGTCTGCGTCTTGGGCATCGTCAACTTTGAGAAGCGAGATTTCGTGCTTACCGAGTATGCCGACGGACGTGACAACCCAGGATGCTTTGCAGAAATGGATACGGAACGATCGGCATGCAGCTCGCCCTGGTTCCGTCGTCCAAGGTGCCCCGTAATTCATCACAAGAATACCTATTTGTTACCAGCCCATCAGGGAGTATGAATGGCGCACGAATCTAAACTGGAATGCATAAATTGTTGATGCTATTTCTTCCACGCACCCCAACTATTTCCAACGTCTTCCGTTTGATTCCGACCTGTGATCCCTATGGAATGCGCCTTGTGGTTTCAATCAAGACTCAATCTCAATGAATGGAACTGTGGGATAGTAGTTCACAGCACATCTTTGAATGCCAGATGAAGAGTTGCTCAATGTAGATAGAGGACTGTTGTTCGGCTAGAAGTCTTTCTCTCAAAGGTGTCTTCTGAAAAGCGTATGACTATAGGAAGTGTATGACAGAAAGTTCCCTTCTGCGACGAAAACACATACAACTCTTGCAGGAGTTTGCCCCGATTCCTCGTGGATATTCGCGGTATTCACGAGGTGGTTACCAAAGACATAGAAAGGTGTCACTTCATTTGGTGGTTTCACAGTGGTAACATATAAGTTATGACTCGTACGCCATTAGTTTGCTGACCATAGTCCTCACTTTGGAATCTGCTATCACCCACGGCACTCAAATCCCGATGCTTGGACTAGAGAGGGTGTCCCCAAGCTGCTCATTGACTACCAGAAACCTCCCAGGGCTACTGCGAAAGAATAGGTGAGTGTCGTCACTCCAAGGTGGGTGCAACTATACTATACATGCGATTTACTGCCACCATGTGATATCTGGCGATTCGTTACCATCATGGGAGAATCGAAAACAACAAGTACCGAGGACGCCGGGAGTGTTGGAGATGGGGCTTCACGATGGATGACTATACACGTCGCAACAGATACGTGGGTCCCCTTCCGTATGAAAATTCCATTTCAGAGTGTTAATTCTTTTCTTTGTTCGCACGCTAAATGATGGGATTTTGTCGGCTTGACAATAGCTGCGAGCGTTCATATGCGTGCCTGTGAGGACGCCTTCGAGAAGTACGGCATCGCGTTTGGAATGATGCATCAAGTCCAGCCTTATACATGGATATAGCTTTGCATAGCTTTACAACGTTAATATAAAGCAGTTACAAAGGTGAACCAAAGCAAGGCCAATGGAATATCAAGGAATGAGGCCAGTAGTGACAATAGAGCAGTTCGATGGGAGTACATACAACTTCAGGTATTTTACATAACAGCTGGTTCTGAAAATTTTTGGCAAAACGCTGTCCATACACCCAACCTTTCTCTTCGACGTGTCTTCTCTTCTATACATACATACCCTTTGATCATTACACCCAACCTCACTTCTTCCCTTCCATCAAGTCATAGAGAACAGAAGCTTCATCGCGAAGGGTTCCGTCGGCCGCGGAATAACTCAATGCATTAACGCCCCTCTGGGCTTCCTCAGCGACTCTGCAATTCCGAGGAAGGTCTCTGCAAGTTGAACCTAAAGAATTTGTCAGCGTAAAGCACCTGGCAATGATGAAACCATGTACCGAGTCCAGAGCTTGGTTGTACGACGACATGACTGTAGCAGTGGCCTGTACAAGTGGGTCTTTCGGAGCCTTGTTCTGAACGTCTATCGCTATTTCTGCCATTCTGCGTAGGTGCTTCGAGGATTTATCTGGTCCAAATGACACGGCATGGAAGGACACGGCCTTGCTGCAAGGTGTCATTAGGAATGACCGGAAGAAATAACTTGAACTCGTACCCAAGCCTAACGGATGACCGGCACAAATCTTGCATAGTCTGGTCTGCGATGTGACTCTCTCCATCCGAAAGAAAGATAATGACAGGAGACCTGAGAAGCGACACATCCGTAGGTTAGTTGGAGTCGGGCCGAGCACTGCTCCTTTACCTCTCAGTATTCCAATTTCGCTCCATGATACCTTGAGCAGCGATAACCGCTGCCGTGAAGTTGGTTCCCACTTTTGTCTGATAAGGCAACAACATATCGAGAAGTTGGTCTGGATTCCTTGTCAAATCGTTTTCGATGACAGTCAGGGCACCATTGTCGAACAGGATAATACTATAGGCGTCTCTGCGAGCTGCACTGTCATTTGATCTGATGGCGGCTGCGCGTGCTGACCAGAAACTATACAATGAAGAGAGAACTGCGCCAAATCTGTTGGCTGAACGAGCGCAGATTCTGGCTGAGGCAGGGGTGTTCGGCAATGGCCGTCGATCATTGCGCGACATAGAACTAGACCTGAAACGAGTGTTAGAGTGAGGGTGAAGTTGAGGCGCGAGTGCCACTCCCACCGGTCCGCAACAAATATCCTTGCGAACCAGTCAGTTCGGGCTATGCAAGAACTATGTAGATACTTACACGTGAAATGCTTGCTGCATAACGGCAGGGTTACGACAAGCAAAATGATGCCCATCATTAGATATGTATCCCGCAGCCGGTGCTACAGCATTCAGACCTGTTAGTGGATGGAACATCGGCAATGTGCAATAGGAAGGTTGAGCAAGATTCCCAGCGTCGCCTGCGTGTTCTGGGCCTGTTTCCCGGTCATGAGAGGGGTCCTGAACTCCATACCGCTTAGCTTACCGCTGCACATAGCATCACTGCGGAAATCAGCATTCGATGCTACTCGACTACTTGAACACCCTACCATTTTGCAAATACTGCTTGTTCTTCTTTCGAGTACGGATCCTTGAATCCTTGAAAGCATTGGCATCAACATTTGTAACGCGGCTTCAGTACACGTACTTACCACTTCTTTTCCAGAACAAATTGTGAGTAACGTAGTCCTTTGGCCGTGCAGGGTGAGGTCGCAAGTGTTTTGTGATGTGCTGAATCTCGTCATTGCCATGGCAGGTTGCTTCCTTATCAGAGCGACAATAGTCAATATGCACATGACGACCTATTGCTTGGCACACAAGGTTGCACATCATCGGAGCGCCCTCGTCGTCGGTGGAGAACCTTCTCCCTTCAATTTCCAGAATTGCAGCATCGTCAGGTCCGTCTATGGTCCATCGTGTGCGAGACATAGAGCCGTGGCGCGTTTCATGCTCTTGCTGAGGATGGCCTGTGCACCACCTGTTAGGGAGTGGCAGGGAGACGGGTGTAAACTGATCATACCAAGCGGCAACGTACAGAAATACCCGCAATTTTCACATCTGCCAAATTGAGCAAGAATAATTGGAACAAGAATTCGGAGAACGACCATCACAAGACCGACCTGGCCTCGCAAAAGTGAATGACTTTTTGATCAAGACTGTGATTATGAGAACCCTCGTGTTCAATTTCACCGGGAGGGATTAGCTTGGCACACTTCAGACGCTTTGCCACTGTACCGTGTGAGTTCGGTGGATTTCGGTACGACTGCACAACTGACCTTGCGAGTACTGACATAAGTAGGTCGTCGGTGAGTTAGCAAAGCTTTAACTCCACTTGTTAAGTTGCCTACCTTCGTATATTGGAAAGATTCGTGCCTACCCGTAAAAGTTGCTTCGATCGAATGTGGTGCAGTTTCGATCTCACATATGCCCTGCGCAGAACACATAACTGTGCAGAGATGCTCTTGTCTGTTCGGAGATGGGGTTGCGTCAGCCCTCTGTCAATCGTTGAAAGATGTCACTGTCAACCCACCCGCAAAGGTGAACCGCCTCATCTTTCAAACCATGCATATGATCTTGATCAGAACATAGCCGCTTGCAGAGCTGACAGGTGACCGAGCAGAGACGAGCTTCGCATTCATGTTGAAGATGATCAACATCGCTGTTGGTCTGTTAATTTCCGGAATCCAAGGGCCCTGAGCGGACCCACCTTGGAATGCGGCAGAAACCGGGGCACGAATAATCAGATCCATCAGCAAGTTTAAGATCAGACAAGCTACATGGCTGTGAGACGCGAAATCAACATATGCGCAACAACCAAAGCGAGGGTTTCACCTTTCCGCAAGCGTGCACTAAGGCAGCGCACAGATGTTCATCATCGTGACCGATAACCTACGATACCTGAGCTGCAAGTTACAGTGGTATGACGAGAGCGCCTTACTTTAATACAATCGTGAAGGCATCCGAAATTGCCGTCGGATTTGCACGATTTGCCACACAGGTGAGCATTGACAACACATCTGTGTACGGACTGGATATGCACCAATGAGATAATTACGTGAAAGTAAATGCTTACATATGGTTCCCTGCGTGTCCAGCAGCCATGCCACACTCTCGGAGCTTACCACCAGTCTCTCGACAAAAATCGCATTCGTGAATGCACAGGTGATCGGTTTGACAAGTATGGGGGCCATCGTGGAAGCGGCTCTGGATGCACAACAGTTGACATTGTACGCATTGCAACTTGCAAAGCTGTACATTGCTTTTCAGATCGACAGCGGCGCCTTCAAAATTGCGCCGAAGATCCTCCATGCTTGCGTGGCCTGTCTGGAAACGTCTGAAATTCTGCGAAAGCCATCCTTGCACATGATTGGTTCGTAGATTGACGATACCCTCGAGGTATTGGGACAGGGCCTCCACCCACTCTGAATCAGAAATGCGTTGACGATCGCCATAACGTTCCCAGGAACCCTGAAGGTTCGCTAATGCTTGCTCACGAGTCTCTGACTGCGGGGCCATTCCAACTGTGAGGAATAAATGTGATTCAGTGTCAGGTAGCTCCACAGGCATATCAGTGTCAAGGTTCTAAGGGAAATTAAATCTTGCAAGATAGAGGAGGGTAGGGGCTACCTTCAGCGGCTCTGGCTCAGGATGGACTTCCTGGAAGCCAAAAGCCAATGCGTTCGGAAGCAACGATGTCAAGAGTTGCGCTCGATGAGATGCCATAGTCTCTGGAAGAAAGTTAGTGGTACCAAGTCGACCAGTACATACAAGAACGCACGCGACATTGCCCCCCAATCATTGGCCTAATGCAGTATTGATTAAACCAAGACACACTGCAAGTAGTTGTACGAACCTTGAGCTTCGCCATCAACACTTTCATCTTGTGAAGGAATTCGCCTGCGGCATGATGCGTTACGACTTGCTCGTCCAAACTCCGCTTTAGCGTTGGAAATAGTTTGTAGAATTCCTTCGATTCGATGACAGGCCTGTGAGGAATAAGACTGCGTCCCAAAAAGTCTGTTTGTAACGCGCACCAGGGAATGATCGTCAGTTTTCCTGCATGAAGTCGAGTGATGAAGTTTGCTTCTTGTTCGTCTTGCACGATTCGTTGGAACTTCAGAGTGAATCTGGTGATTTGTGAATCGCGGCAATTCCATAACTGCGAAGAAAACTGACTCTCTAGCTATTTCCGACCTATCCGCCTCAACGACGTCCTAAAAGCGATGATCAGGTATTGAAACGCAGGTGTTGCCAGCGTGCTGTACCTTAATAATGATGACTAAAGTCGATTGGAATAGCGAGGGGTTGGCTGCAGGGTCCAGAACAGTAGCACTAGACTGGAAGGATTGGAACAACCCTGCAATATCACGACTGAGTGCAAAGTTGTTGCGGAAAAGGACCTAGAGAGATGTCATTCTTGTTTGTTATTTCATTTCTGCGGGATCACGCTTACAAGATTCGAGATTGCAGTGTTAAAAAGGACGAGTAGCGTGTCTTCCTGAGCCGACCGTTCGATACTGTGAACGCCTGAAAAGAGATGGGTACCAAGAAAAGTACAACGAATGAATATCAGTCCACAAACCCTCGAAATCTAGGGCTACGATAAGCTCCTTCTCGGTTGGCGTGACAGACATCCAGACACCCTCAGTCGTACGCATTGCCGATCCCGCAAAAGAGGTGTCCACGAAATGATTGAGAGCATAACTCTTTCCAACGGATTGCTCTCCCATGGAAGACACCACTCGAACGGGCTGTCAGGTTGTAAGCAGGATCGGGGCATTATCGAATAAGCACTACCTTGGTTGCCATGTAAGACTGAAAGAGCGACTCGTACCACCCAAAGGAGATACTGTCTACGATGCGATTCACCTCGGCACCCAAGAGCGATCTTTCCAACTCCGTGGAATATGCACCATCTTGGAGTGGGACAAAGCGATTTTCTTTTGTCAACGCAATGTGAATTGGAATCAAACACAGGAAATCGACAATCCATTCGCCTGCCCTATATTGCGAGACGTTCCACGGAACGGTGCTGCATAACTCTTGCACAAAGACAGAAAAGGCGGCAGCCGACACCTTAATAGATTTGAGGACATCGCCAGTAGGTTTCTTACTCGTGCGCTCAAAAGTGTGGATCATGTCAGAGAAATGTTGTGCAAACATTTGGAAGTCACGGTCAGTAATGAAGACCAGACTTCTCTGGCTCCTAAGACTGGCAGAGGATACAGTCTCCCGCTGTACCGCAGCGAGGACTGGGAAACGAGTCCAGACTTCCGAGTGACAATCTAACAGGCAATTGTGTGCTGTTGTATTTTCTGCTCGTTTGGACTCGCTGCGACCAACCTTCTCTCGGAACATGAACTCGGTAACCCGACGAGTAATGTCCAGAGCATAGGATTGGCATCGACGAGTGGAAAAGTCGAGCCACAAAAGCTGAGCGGCAGTCCTGGTGATCAGTGATGTGACCACAAACGGTTCGCCAACTGGGAGGCCAGGCATGTTGAGCTCGATGCCCTCCGTCGATCCAAAAGAATCCCAGTGATACGCAGTCAGTGCATGACCTCCTCCGTGCTCATGGGAAACCAGCAGACACGATCCATCTGGTGCAGAATATACATTCGAAGGGACGTGGTGGAGGTTAAGAGTAGCGGGTCTGTAAAAAGCAATGAGCGTCTGCTCGCAGAGGACCACATTCCACTGACCGAAACTGCATCGTAACTAGAGAGTATATCCTAGCCTGGGCTAGAGAGTCTACTAGCAGGAGCTCTTCACTGCCACTGACAAAGCATGAGTGACGGATGGATGTCCCTTTGTTGTACCATGAGTTCAAGTCGATAGAACTTCCTACCGCCTGGAAACCTCGGGTGTCGTCGTACACGAAGATGTGCAGCAATAGCTACAGGTAAATGATCGGGTATGAGACATACTATCAAACTCGAAGTAGACGACCTACGTACCTTGTCGGAAGAGACGATGCTCAACATCCGCTTGGACTCGTCGAACGCCAGCACAAAATCTTGTCCAATCTTCTCGCGGTTCAAACTTTTTCCGTGCCTTCGCCCGATGGCTGCATCGATGGCCGTTAGGCGATCAAGATAAACCATCAAATTGCCAACACGATCCAAGACAATAAGCAGTAACTTCTCCCCTTCAAGTAACTGCGCACGCCTGGCAATGGGTCAATCATACAGCAATCCGAAGAGACGGAATGATACGAACAAGACGGTATAGTCCTGGGCTAACCTAAATTTATACTCGGAGTGAAAGCGGGGAGAAGGAATGATGGATACGTCCAGTTGCAAATTATGTTTGTCTTGCTCCGTGAGGCTCATGGTATGAACTGTAAAACATGTCATGGGTTCCTCTCGGGTCTCTCGAACACCCGAGACTTTGCATTGTGACGAGTAATACGATTTACTCTCAACCGATTCAATGGAGAGGGTGTGTCTGGTGGACGGTCATCCAAGTAGACACTGGAAAGCCTTAGAACTTACCGCTGCTGGGTTTGGCGCGTCACATCATTGACATGACGGATTAACTGCAATCTAAGCTCGCGCTTCGCTTGTTCCTCTCGGCTCTCAGTATGGACTTTGATGCTTTCCTTCATCGTCTCCTCCTGGACCTGTCTGACTAACCCGACAAGTTTCTTCACAACATGGGGTATCGTGGTTGCCAAGGATGACTGCACCTGCAGGGTTGCTTCTTCGACCAAACGTTTCAACTCCGGTTCCTCCTGGATCACTTCTGCGTTGACAATCTCCTTTAAGAACTGGCTGTCCGAGATATTGTTTGCTTTTCCAAGAGCTTCCCGAAGAACACGGTCTGCGATGGCAGTTTTGTCTTCCCTTGGGTTAGAGAAGACTGAGGTAACGTAGCTAACCGCACGTCCCATGAGAGGAAACACGTCTTCTGTTGGATTATAGATGAGCAGTGCAGAGTGGTTATCGGAGAGCTGCGTGGTATAGGCGGTACTTGAGTTTTTAAAGGCGTCCCTCATAGCATATTGGGCTGCTTTATATCCCTCTTTCGTAGCCGCTTTCGCGATCGCATGACGATGAGTTTTACTGATTTCACCCACACGAGAAATAAATTCAACTAATAGGCACAATCGATCCTTGATTTCTCCGAACTTGGAGCTTGAGATTGTTTCCACCGGTTTGATGTTTAGCTGAAAAACTTCATCCACTTTGGGATAAAGCGTAGCAATTTCCTGGAAGGACACTGAAAGATATGGTAAGATAATACTTATCACGTTTACGAGTGTTGAACTCACTTGGTGTGGTTGCTTGATGCACTCTGGGATGGGGGAATGATGCTCGATCGAGGAAGCTACATCAAGCCGGTAGTGAATGAATGCAGTGATAGTCGAGATTAGGAAAGCTTACGGATACAAGTTCAAGACTATATCCATGACGGCGTCGTAGATTGCCAAGGTTAAGTTTTCTTCTTCTTTGTCGAAAGTAGCCCTCATTTTTCCAAATTCGTCCGTTCTCATTCTCTTGCAATGGGCTCCAACGGTGTCCAACTCTTGTGTCCATTTGGTACACTCGTCAGGAAAACGTTTCTTCAGGCCGCCGCGGACAAGGATACCCAATGCTTGATCATCCAGGGATTCACTGAGGCAAAGAGAATCGGACGTGCTGAAGGACGATCGACTGTTGGTGTCAAGGACCGCTGTTGGCATAGTCGAACGGAGAACTTACAGGTGACCTTCCTAATTGTAGAGGCGTGAGGGACCGCGCCTTGAAAGGCTCGGCTACACGCCTAGCTGCCTGGTGCTGTGCGGTCATGAGACCTTGAGCAGTCTCTCCAAAGAGCAAAAACGGCTTCAGTCCTTGCTCTGCGGATGCCTCTGATACCGAGCTAGCATAGGTGATGAGCCCGGATGCAACCTTTTCCACAAGCCCTTGAGTACCAGACTGTGAAGATGCATGACAAAAATTACCTTAAAGCCTTCTCGTACTTGCACAGATTCTTCCTGTTCTGTCGTTCTGTCCACGACACATTTAATGATCCTATGCCCTTCGCAATCTTCGTCCCTGGCATCGTTGTCATCCTTATCTCCGTCATTCCAGACAATAGTCTGTGCGTGCACGGAAGAAATTAACGCAACCACCTGGTCACACATCTTTGTGAGGTATCTATGAATCGTGAGCATACGGACGAAGAGTCAGCTTCCTGTGATGTAAACAAACCTCATGAAAGTCACACGGTTTCGGCGGACTTGGGAGGGTGCAGAGTTATTCCACGTGTTTTCCTGAGGCCAGTATACGACAAAGATTTGTTCCGTTTGACCATATGGTTCTGTTGGTCGAAGAACGTACAGACCTGATCGAAGTGTGGGCTTCGTAGGTCCAGAAATGTTTGGGTCCGCGAGTAGCTGTGCAGCCCTAAAACGAAGGCAGAGTCAAAAAGGGTGCATAGTCTGCATTGGGAAAACAACATACAAAGCGTCATCAACCACCCGAAGCTCCGAAAAAAATCGCACGATCTCTTCTTTGCTTCCATACACGCCGACGGGTTTTACGATATAATGATCCAACGCTTTGAAATTAACCTTTGTCATAGACGCATATGCGCCGGGAGAAACGAGATTGATGAAAGTTTCCAACGAGTTTTGAGAGATGATGATCTTGTCGACTGAGGGAAGCATAAGCGCTGGGGAGGGTGACAAGAAGCAAAAAATGTTACCTAGCCCACCGCTGCCTTGTTCAGCAATCAGATCAAGGATCCTGTACAACCCTTTGACAGAGGAGGCCAGATCAAAATGGTCAGGTGTATGGAGAGGAGCGTCGACGCCCATCTACGTATCAACTTATTGATAGCCGCCGGTAGATAAAGGGAATCCACTCACGTCGTCATTCATCGCTGCTCTCGAATTTGCATCCTGATCAACTGCTGACTCGTACAAGCTCTCCTCCGATGAATCGCTTGAAGGAGGGCCGGTCATAATGCGCTTGTATGCGGCCGGAGTGGTCATCGATACGGTCGACACAGAATCACTCTCGAGACTAGAGTCCCTAGATTCCCCAGTAGGCGTGTTGTCGTAAAGAGATTCTATAGAAGCAGCAGTGAGCAATGACGAGGTCGTTTGGGTCAGTCTGGGTATGGCATTTACACACCATCCGCCTTTGTCTTTCCTTCGTCTCGAAGTCTGTACACGTGTATTTCTTCACTACCATCCATGGTGCTGTGCAAAAAAGTGGGGTTGAAACCTTGATTCATCCCCCACTCAACCCCATTTAAATATCCTAGAAGATAAGGATGCGCCCAAGGTTAGACATGAGGCACGTAATCAGAATTACATGCTGTAGGAAAGCTAACTCCATGCAGCACCAAAAACTCTCTCACAGAGGCCCATCGACCATGAAAAAAATTGTGATAGGGACCCACGCACGCGAAAGTAGGGAGAGGCCGGCGTACTGAAAATCCGCAACACATCTCTGCTCGTGATTTCGTTGTTGACGAGCGGAATTCGATGAGGGTGGTCCAGCGCCCGATAGTGAAAAGTACACAGCATCTAGAGCATAAATACCACGCGGCTTAGTCTGGTGACCAGCCCATAACTGATGAGGCAAAGCCTGTCTCATAGACGTCTGGTCACCAAACTACAGGCGACTAGGGCGAGGCCACCACTGCTCTGCCTGCAACCACACGCAAAGACGTGGTGTCGAAAGCAGCCAATGTTGGCAACTAAATTAATCGACCACTTCCGAAAACAAGCACATCCGAAGTAACTTGTAGACCGCCCAGGCAATGATATAGTGGAGGTTGGGATAACGATCGTAGAAAAAAATTGTATCGTCTCCTTGTTATACAAGTAGCAATCGACCCCGGGGGCTCCGTTCTGGCACTACTTCACTTTGGCTGCAGTTCCGCGGAGACGCCTGGGCCAGTGAGCACAAGTGGGTCGGGTCAGTGCAAAGAAACTAACCTGAAGCCTCCCCTTCGAGGGCGAGGTGGACATGTACTTTCTCACGCAGTAGACCACTCACGTGCCCCGTGATACGCCCTGTTCCTCGGCTGACTTTCCTGCTTCCCTGTGACTCACCGCAACAACATGCGTTATTTTTGCAGCTGAGGCCGTGTCCCCGCGTGAGGTGAGTGGTTAATAGGATAAAGAAGATCTGACATCGCGGCATGATATGCCTTCAAATGCACTGTTATATTAGTTCCATACGCCAGTGCGTTGACTCGGTTTTCCTCATCGAGCAAGGCTGGACTTCTTCTCGTCCGACGTTCGATAGCGAAATTCCAGATATCATTGTTGGTTTCCCAACATGGATCACAAAAGTGTTACGTGCCGTGTCCTAACTTGGACTCTGCGCATCTTCCCCGCTCCTGGCTCCCGCAGTATGTGCATATCTTGTTTATTCTCGTTTCCAGGTTCTGAAGCTGTGCTTCCCTGCGAGTTCACAGACTTCGGGCAATAGGTCTGCGTCGCTGAATTAGGTTTTATTCTCTTATCTCTACTGCATATTGTTTGATCATGTGCCGTTTCATCGCCCAACCTGTATGAACCTTATCTTCCCCACCCGCTTTAAGCTGAGGTACCTCCGTGGACTTTCACACGTCCTCCTCACCTTTCTTCCACTATGGACGGTTCATTCATGCCACCAGAACTATTTAGCAATGTTGGCGCCGAAAGAATTTTGGTTCAGGGAACTGCAGACACGTACAAAGGAAAGGGAAGAGTCGATGGTATTATTAAACTTGGTCCAGGATTTGCAGGTCGCTGACTTCCCTCTAGAAATCGAATCGGATGGAGACTGGTCTGATTCCAGCGTGGAAATCGATAAATCTCCGCTGAACCTACATACCTTCTGCTGAACTGGATAACAAGGTCTCTCGCTTTTCAGGTGATTGTGGCCCTCAATGGCAAGCACCAGCACCTACAGCAGTGGGTGCGAATAAGAGTATCCCGGACGATGCGGAAAGGTGTCCCCTAGTCGAGAATGTTTGCACCAGTCGTTGCACCCAGATAGTCCAACTACTTCAGCGAGGAATTACGAGGTGTGTTAACCGTCTTTCTCACCGTATAGCCCACCAGATGGGTAACGACGACTAGTCTGTCGACCAATTTGACGATCGAGATTTGGCGCGATCCATTCCAGGTTTGTATAGGATCCTCGATATAGTAAATGAACAGGGTAGCGGTGGGCTTGGTATGATTTCGTCCGCAATGACGAGGCTTGCGCTCATGCCTTCTGAAGTGGATAAGATCATTATTTCTCAAAACTCGCTAAAAACATTCATCAATACTATTAGTCCAGGTGCCTATGCATCTATGACGAAGGTCAATTTCAGAATGTTGGACCAATCCACCATCAAACCTGTAGGCATTTACGGCAGTAAGGAGGAGATAGTCCGTTTTCTCTTGAGACTCCGCGTTGTCGATGATACTATGCAAGTTGTACTTGATCTTGGTTGTGCTGGTGGCACCTCACGACAGATTCCATTTTGTAGAGCTGGTCACCTGTTGTCTGAACCGAGTACTACGGAAGCTCATCCGACGCTTCGCTCGGGGCTGTATATTCTTCGTTCAAGCACTGCAAAGCCTGACGGATGCGAGCAAATATATGTCGTCTACTGGCCTGAGCAAAATACATGGGACGACTCAGTACAAGTTCGCCGCAATAGGGTAGCGTTTATGAGGTCGCCACATGTCCTTCTGTATCCCGTGGCACCTGACATTTTTGCAGGTACCTCACGCGGATGTGTGATCAGATTGTCGCATTGGTGTCTTCAGAACACGCTCGAAAAATGGTGTGGAATGATGTCGGTGGAGATCACCAGGATGAGGACGGTGGAATCGATGGAGATGACGGAGGTGACCGAATCATCAGGTGTGTCGTGCAAAAGACAACGGAGCAGGAGGAGTCGGTGCAAATTCGTGAGGGATTCAAGGTGAATGTCATGTTTTTTCAGTTAAGCCACACTGCGTTAAAGTTTCTTAGGTAACTTCGGAATATATATCCCAAGCGGAGCCATCCGAATGTGGAGAGCAGTGCTCTGTAAAGCCCTCTCTACTTTTGGGAGAGACAGCGCAGGGTACTCTGACTGTGCAACATCGTCCGTCTAAACTCGTCACTGAACTTTTCAGGCCTCGTTCCATCAGTGACATTCAATTAGAGGGCTACTTGTACGTGTATTTACTATACCTAAGCATCTCACCTTACGTGCTTGTCTGCCCTGCAGGACGTCTGACAGCTTAGCCATCAGTGAATCCCTCGATGACCAAGGGACTTGAGATACTGGTTCATGTTGGCCTTGGAAAACACTTTCCTCAGGAATGTGCCAAGTGGAAACACCAGTCTGCAGTGATTCAACAGCGCTATAAGAAGATCCTTGATAACAGAATCCGGAACGCTAAAGACGAGTTGGCTAAAGCAGCTGAGAGCGTGACCAACGCCATACGCAATGCTGTTATTGACGATGTGGTGGCGTTGTACCCGTGAGTAGTGGTGTTTATCTTAGAGCAGCAGCAGCATTTATTCTTGCTTTGTCAAGCTTCATTGACAAGCAAGCATTCCAGTATACAGGCTCGGGTACTGAGGGTCCACCAGGTATGGTTCATGGGTATATGTTCCACATTTTGCAAAATGTTCATCATTTGATTGTGGCAGGTTCATTCTCGCAAATCATAGACATTTATCCAAAAGCAAGCGAGGCTTTTCGGCTCAACACTCAGGCCTTACACGTAATTTCGGATCCCGAGTTCAGGGATATAAAGGACCGACTGTGCCTTCTTGTGCGGTTTATGTCCCGCAAAAAAGATGCAGAGGACAGCAAGCTCAAACCGATCAAGGATGCAATCGTTGCTGGCGGTTTTCAGGAGGCGGAGAGAGTGATTAAAGCTTCGTACGACAAGCCCCGAGGCACGTTCGCCCCAATTCTTGGCTTCTTGGGAAGAGTCAAGAATAGTATTATTACCCCACAAACCAACGCTCGCTCCATAGATAGTGTTCTCAAAGAAGCCCACGAAGCAGCTCTGAAGGTTACAGATAGCGAGTTCTTTCGGATCGTCGCGAAGAAAAAGCAATTCCAGGACAGACAACAGTTAGCGGAGCTTGTTGAAAATGCAAGACAGAAAGCGAAGTCGTACTTGGAACACACCGTCCCTCGTGTCATCACGAAAGTTATTTTGTCAATCAAAGAGATTCAGGAAGAAGACTGCCATGCAAAAATCACGGCCGAGTGCTCTTACCAAGAAGGCCAGGAGCGAGACGAGTATAAATTACAGTTGATTCAACACATCAACAACTCGTCCACTAAAGTACAGCGCAGGTAAGGCCAGAATTGCAATCCAACCTCGGTCGCCATTAATCTCTTATAGATACACCCTTCGAATCGACTCCGTTCAAGAAGAAAAGAAGAGTTTGGTGAAGTCCAGGACATTCAAGCTCTGGGGTTTGCGAGAATCCGAGGAAGATCCAGTAACGTGCTACACGGTTCATCCCATGAACGTGACGGAGGAGGATAAACACAACCTGCAATTAGACCCCTCCAGTATCCCTTCGCCTCGCTTTCCGTTTCAACACCAATTCGAGTTACCTCCAGGACATACTATCTTGTAGGCCGCACGCCCTGGATTTCCTGCTCTGTCAGGACTGATGCATAACCTGTAGACGTGCACAATTTCTTGAAGGAGAGAGACTGCTCTTAGTTGTCGCGGACCGGGTTGGGAGCATATTCGTGTATCTCGAGACTCTCGCTGCCGTATTTGGTGTCATACAACGCAAGGGCCGTAAACTCCTCCTGAAGCGGGAGAAGATTGGCCAAGATGTCCACCTCGCCTTCGACGAGTCAAGGCGGATGCTGGGCGTTGTTTCGTCAGACAAGGTTTGTGGTTTTCGTTCCATTCACAGTGTACAAGCAAGGATGATCGACGAAACCATGTATCGCAGCGTCTATTGCATGTATTTGTATACGATGACGTGCGAGGATTTCAAGCCCAAGGAAGCGCGATTAAATTGAGTGAATGGTACGACGAAGGAGTACGCATTCGTCATGCCTGTTTTATATGCGGCAGCGAGGAAATACTGCTGGTGGATTCTCAAGCCCAGGCCAGGGTATTCTCATTGGTAACCATGCAATTCAGGTGAGCAAAACCTCAAAAACCGAGTTTTGTCATCCGTACTGAATTCCAACAGACCTGCTGTTCTTCACCTACCTCAAGTCCCAACCGGCGTGCATTGCACACCCGATGGGTCCTGCGTATTGGTTATTCAACCCCAGGAGTCTGGGCTAGCAATAACTGCCTACCATTTGAGTTCTTTCGGTTCAACGGAGGGCATACCACTCAACATCCCTGATCTTGCTGTTGGTGAACCCCTCGTAGTCACTTCGCTTGTCAAACGCACAGCGGTTCATTTACTAAAGCTCGATTTATCCTCTCGCTGCTGCCAGTCGTATGCGCTCGACATTACTCGACGGCATACCGAATTCGTGTTCCGCGATCAGGTCAACCGCAATTCTACATCAGAGAAAGCACACGAAACCGCTCGTAACTGCCTCATCGGCTGTCACTCGGAGGTGTGGACTCGCTTTCCCGTATGTGCAGCAGTGCAGCGAGAGACTATATCCTCGGCCAGTCTCAGAAGCCAGAAAAGACTCATGTTTGTCGCTGATCGTGACTTCGACATGTTTGCTCCCTATTTCTCTCAGATGATTCACTCTTTCGAACGCACGGCAAGGAAACCTACTGGAAATGCCCTCAAATCGGTGAAGGTGTCCGCTGCCTCATTCGACGTCTTTGCACAGGAGTTATGCGATGGTGCTACATGGAACGTCTCACAGTATCGAGCGGGCGAATGGATCGTTGATTTCTTGTGTTTGATTCCGATCCACATTGCGGTGACCAAGGACAATCGCTTCATCCCTCTAAAAGATGGTGTATATTCGCCAAGGTTGGAGAGAGAATTACTGGGAGCAGACATTAACCGCATCGTAGACAATATTTCTTTCGGATGGTACGAATCGCTCTTTCAGTCTTATATGGCAACGAAGGTAGCGTCCTTGTCTCCGACAATGTTTCTAACTAACAAAGACCAGCCTGTCAGAGTGGTGTCGTCCATGGGAGAACAATCTGTTGGAAAGAGTTATGCTCTGAATCACCTCGTGGATACTTCATTTGCTGGCTCCGCGATGCGGACGACGGAAGGCGTTTGGATGTCAGTTACCCCAACAGAGAAAGAGCTAATCGTAGCTCTGGACTTCGAAGGTTCGTCGATGGATTATGTCTGCCCCCAATTGTACAGACCGTCTTCGTTTAGGTGTTCATAGTATCGAACGGTCAGCGCAAGAAGACACGCTACTTGTGTTGTTCAACACTGCTATCTCGAATTTAGTGAGCATATCGCTACTGAAAATGGGGACATAACTAACATCTCTGCAGGTCTTGTTTCGTAACAATTTTGCACTCAGTCGCGATATTACAGGGTTGTTCCAATCCTTCCAGTCTAGCGCTACTGTTCTAGATCCAGCAGAAAACCCTTCGCTGTTTCAGTCAACTTTGGTAATCATCATCAAGGTATGCATTCTGGTCAAGTGGACATGACAGAAGTTTAAATTCGTTCTTAGGATGTCGTTGAAGCTGACAAGACAGAGATAGGCAGAGAGTAAGTCAGCTCTATGCAAGCCTTCTATCGATTGATTGACATATTGAATGAAAAGGTTCTCTCTGAGGTTCGGCAAGATTGTCCAGGCAGAACAAGATGCGAATTTTATCAGTCGTCTGCATGCAGGTAGACTGACAATCATTCCTTGGTGCGCACAATCCGGAACTATATAGCGGGCGCATGCTCATGTTCCGGCAGGCCTGTCATCGAATCCAACGAATTCTACAAGCTATTCACAGAGTTAAAAAAATGTTTGGATCAGCAACCAGTCACGCATCCCGCCGCAGGCGAATTCCTACACAAGATGAAAGCGTTGATGGCGAAACTCAAGGTATGCATTCATATGCAGGTCGTCGTTTCCTTATTGAAATGGCATTAGGCCAATGATTGGGGAGCTATGTCTCGTATGTCCTGCCATTGATACTCGCGCGATGCTCTGCTAAGCTCTCCACAGAAACCATGGCATCTCATCGAGCCCAGCTTTTGCTATCGATGCTTCCGAATGCATTGATGTATGGCATGCAAGAAATCGATCCCGACCTGGAACCTCTCAAGGTAACTAATCTGGTTGTAACGCTTGGACTTCTGATTAAGTTATTGTCATAGAATATCGACACCGATACTCCTATCCAATTTCCCGATACACAGTTGAGACTGTTCCTTGCTGCCGGAGGGTTATCGCAATCAGAGAGTCGCGAGAAAGTGCTTGCGGTCTTATGCGATTCTTGGGATCGGAACGAAATGCGTCAGCACCTTTCGGATCCTGAATGGGCAGGTGGTCTCTCCCAATATCTTGAACGGATCGTCGACTTGCGTATCGACCATGTGCGTGAATGGCTGACACAAAACCTGTCCCGTTTCCAGACGGGACATGCTAGCATCGAGGAGTTACGAAGAACATTTGAGAATGCTTCAGTCGATCTGAGGAGCAACGTTCAACTCTGCAGATTGCAATGCGCGAGTTGCCAATTGCTGTGCATTCAGAGTCGCTTGCACGATGGCCCACACAACTGCCGAACCGATCACGCCTGCATCCACCAATGTGATTTCTGCAAGGAAGGCACTGGCGAGAACAGAGCATGCTCGATGATGTGAGTGCTTCATGGCAGATTGGCTTCATGCTTACCGTTTTTGCCGGCGGTAGCGGTGGCCACGCAGGAAAGCATATGTAAGATGATATTAACCTTTGTCCGTGGTTGGTATCTTACCGTTCCCATATAGTTGCGTCGTGAATGCCCACCTGTGTGGGAAGCCTTGCAAGTCCACGGGCAAATTTGGTTGTCTCAACCAGTGCACCAAAGTAGGTACCCCTTCCTGCAATTCAAGCAGATATTCATCTCCAGCAGGTCGCCGATCACCCGGACGAACACTTATGTGCTGCTCTAGTTCATGGATGTGGAGAGGTGAACGCTTCTTCAGCCATCTATTATTCCTGTTTCTCAGTTTGGACATTTCACTTAGCCTTGTGATTTGTCTGGGATCAAGCTCATCGACAGATCGACATATGCATGCCCTGGGACCTGTCGCATACCAAGGTAAGGCAGCTTGAGGGACGAATGCGTAAGCTTATGCCCTTCCAGCGACGTCGATCATACGCGTCATCGTTGTGACACTCGCCTCTGCTCTATTACTTGTCAGCTATGCAAGCGGCTCTGTTCTCATCAAGATCATATGCACGGATTGGAGGAGGGAGCAATCCACCTCTGCGGGTTGGTCAACCGAAGTCCTGTATAAACTCACTCTGATCATAGTACAGCGAAGAGCATTTTTGCACTGACGAGTGCTCTGTCCCCGGGATATGTGAAATCGAGACGGCTCCATATTCCATCGAAGCTACCTTCACAGGCAGACATGAAACCTTTCAATATACGAAGGTGACTGTTATCATCTATTTCGCGTATGGAGGGACTGGCGCTGATGGACCGGTCCTCTAGTACTCTCAAGGTTCATTTGGTTTCTTTGCGAAATATTGTGTTACTCAGACATGCTACAGTTGCCAAACGGCTCAAATGCGTCAAGTCAATCCCACCTGGGCAATTAAAGCATACCGGTCAACACAATCATAGTCTTGATAAGAAAGTTGTTCATTTCTGCCAAAATAAGTCGGTCACATTCTTTCGAAAAGTGTTGTAGATGACATGAGCGAGTCCCCAGGTGCGAGAACTGTGGTTACTTCTGCACACTACCGCTTGGTACGAGCGTCCACGTTGACATGCAGATCCATTAACTAAATTGCATGACAAGGTCATCCTCAACAAGAACATGAGACACGCCACGGTTCCATGTCCAGAACGCGGTGGGTTGTGGATGAATCTGATGACGCTGCCGCCCTCGAAGTCGAAGGCCGAAAGTTTTCCACTAATGACGAGGGTGCTCCCATGATGTGCAATCTTGTGTGTCAGGCGATAGGTCGCCACGTGCATATCGATTACTGTCGTGCTGATGACCCAGCTGCCTGCGCTGGACGCGACGAGATTCAGCACATTGCGAAGCGTATACTACCCGATCCTGACCGTCCCAAGGATTACATGACTCACAGTCTATTCTGGAAAAAGAGCGGTACGTATAGACCCTTTAGTAATCGGGGACGATGCACATCCCGAGCCTTTCGCCAGGTTTCAAAGATCCCTATTCGAAGGAAGAGCAAGCCAATTTCGCCAAATGGTAGGCTCCCTATGTTGTATTACATATATCAAGTGGAGTGACACATAACTTGAACAGTGATGCTATGTGTAGTGGTGTGTCTTTATCGTTTTTAACGCTTTGGGTCATCCTTGATGACCGTGAAACAGGCCGGGAACATGCTGGTGACGCTGGGACGCTTCCTCAACCGTCGTACTGTACGCTGGCAATGTTCCATCAACCCTCAGATGCGCGCGGGGCTGCACCTGCTATTGGATACGTATCCAAAGATGGCCATCACTTTACTTGTCAAAATCCTGTTGTAATGCAGCATGCATACCATGTGTACGTCCAAGATTCTGCTTAGCGCGCTGGGCTCAACTAATTGGCTTCTCAGCATATTCGTTGCAGATCGGTAAGAGATGCCACCAGTATTTTGCCGCCTATGCTAAATCCGCACAGGTCTAGCTCAATGTCCTCCGAAGATAAAAAGCCGTTGCCGAAATACGCCAGGCATCCGGAAGAATTTCTGCTTACTCAGACAACAGATTCGGGGCCGTGCTATCCTCGCTCTATGGCTTCTGGTCTGCTCGTGCAGCCGCGGTCGGATCTGGTGCTAGCGCAGCTCGCAGAGATGCATATAGCGTTATTTTGTTCAATAGCAGAGTCGTTCCTGTGATTGAAAACGACTTCACGAGCGATCCCGATCAGTTGCTTGATGCTATTTTGCCTTATGAGGCGGACGGTGGAACCAACTTTACAGCAGCAATTACTGGTGCGGCGAGTGTCATGGAGAGAAACTGGAGCACAGAGAGGTGAATGCGCAACTTCGAGGTGTTTGTAGACTCGCTTATGGATTGTGACTTATCAGGTCTCCCGTCGTTATCTTTCTTTCGGACGGCGAGTGCCAGATTGCAGACCAGACCATGCAAGACTTGTGCCGTACTTCTATCCGGCTTGGGTACTGGAATATGCTTCGTTGTCTGGTTTCGTCATTTCTGATGAACACTTTACAGCAAAGCTGTCTCCTTTCATGCCGTTTCGTTCGGTCGAGATTTACAATATGCCCTGAATTACCTGCTCCTTGACCGACTGAATGCGCCCAGGAGTTCCCTGCGTAGAATGGTGGAAATCGCACGAGAAGCTCAGAACAATGCACCCGGGGATCCACTCACGCCCGCCGTTGTTACAATCATTTCTTCATACTCCAACGCGGAAGATACTGTACGCCATTTGCTTGTGGCTGATGTTCACATCTTATTAATCTATCTCAACCATAAATTAGGTCCAACTTGCCGAGACATTCCTTGGGATTGCGGAGTCATTGCGGAAGCCGAGAGGATCATTGATGCAACTAGATAATCGCCGTACTTGACGTTGTTCAAAACGATGACTTAAAGTTCACGTTTTCAAAGTGTGTAGTATGTAGTTACGTACCTGCCAGATGTACTTGTAACACTTGAACATGCTGAGGTTGGTCTGGTCACCAGACCGGTACCACTCAGTAACGAGGCAAGCCGGAGTGTGGGACAACAGTAACACCAGGTGCAACGCTTACCCAACATAGACAGAGGACGGACACGCATGTGCACATGCAGAGACCACGACTAGCAACCCCGGTGACCGTCACGTGTAGGCGCAATTGACCCGATTTGGACACCAACAATTTTACATAATCTTATGTGATCATTACCAACGCCACTCACAGGCCAGCGTTGACGATAACATGATGGAAGTCAAGTTGCGATGAGTCTGGCCCTCAGCTCGTGCTTGTCTTCCAGGAGTTGCACACACTGAAGCGTGGCTGCCAATGCACCTCTACTCTATGCACTTCTCCGAGGAGGTTGTTCATCTCCAGCTTTACTTCCTGAACGCATCTGCGTGTGGTTGTACCTATTAAGGCTCTGATTTCCACACGAGGCTGATATGCAGCTTCCTGGGCGGCTGAGCCGCACTGCTCATAATCTATCGTAGCTTCAAGGCCTTCCGCATCATCCTATCTATCATGTCTCTCACCCACGCTGGTATAGTTCATCAGCCTCCAGGACAATCGACTTTAGCGTACCTCCCCCTTGAAAAAGTTGCAATCAACGCGTGGATGGTCGATGGTACATCTCGCTCCATTCACCTTTACAATAGCCCCTCAACTGATGCGCGGTGGCGACAGTTTCTGCGCGATTAGTGCTAACTCAGGTATTCCAGAACGAATCAGATAGGCCTACCGCTAGGGCCAAATACGTCTTCCCTCTCCCCGAACGATCGGCCGTCTGTGGATTCGAACTTGAACATGCAGATGGACGCGTGATCGTTGGAGTGGTGAAAGAAAGCGAAGATGCGGCGCGGACCTTTGAAGTCGCAGTTGCAGCAGGGCAAACTGCTGCACTAGTCGAGCGGGTAACAGACGATAGTCGGTCAGTATCCTATTCACAGGCATATCATTCTCAACCCCTTCCTGTAGTCTTTGCCATATCGGTGGGTTCCGTTCCTGCAAGGAAACATGTAACCACCCGTATCACGGTAAGTTTCCCGTTATCTCTGAATTTGTGGGGTCTCCCTGAGCCAGTTCTCGCATCTTTGAAGTTTATCATGGATCTTCTCACTGAGGGCATGCGGGATCACGTGCGTCTCCAACTTCCTTTGGCTATCTTCGAGCGATATGGTCCTACTCCCGATTCGATGATTGGCGCTGCCTCTGCGACAATCTCCACTCGCATCGATATCAGAGTTGACGTCCAAACAAGTGACACTATACGATCTATACGCAGTCCCACTCACCTCATCAAGGTGTCACGGTATAAGACGCGCAATGGGCGCAAGTCCCAGCGTCGCATGTCTGCATCTTGGGCGTCACCAACCTTTGAGAAGCGAGATTTTGTGCTTACCGTATACGCCGACGGACTTGACAAACCAAGATGCTTCGCCGAAATAGATACGGAGGCCGGCACTGGAACGATCGGCATGCAGCTCACTCTTGTTCCGTCGTTCGAGGTGCCCCGTAATCCATCGCAAGAATACCTATTCGTTATCGACATATCGGGGAGCATGCAAGGCGACCGTGTCAAAACTGCGAAGTGTACATTGTTGATGCTACTACGTCTCCTTCCATGCTCACAAACCATCTTCAACATCTTTCGCTTTGGTTCCGAGGTGTACTCCCTATGGGCGGCGTCTTGTGATTACAATCAAGACTCCGTGGATAAAGCTGTGGGATAGCAGTTTATCACACATCTTCGGATATCAGCTGAAGAATTGCTTTAGACTACCCACGTAAAGTTACTCAAAGCTGATGGCGGAGGCACAGAGATCGCCAAAGCTTTAGAGGCTGCAATAAATAGTCGGCGGAACGATCGGCCTACCGCAATATTTCTTTTGACAGACGGTGAAGTATACGTGGGTACACCCCACAATCCTGTCTTAATATAGATTGAGTCAATGCTACAGGACGAGGATCCCGATGATACTATGGCTATGCATATCGTAGCTGAGGCCGTTCGCAGAACCAACCCCCAAGCACCCTTGCGTGTATTTGTCCTCGGCATCGCAGACGCGACGTCTAGCATGTGCGAAGGCATTGCCCGCGCTGGTAATGGAGAGTGCCTTTTCGCGGTCTCCCACGAGCAAATACTGGGAAAATGTGCTCGTCTATTGAATGCAGGGCGTACAAAGAGAATCGAGAGCATCCGGGTGGATTGGGGCTCCCTACCTACGTCCACAGCGACCCAGTCAACACATGCAGTTTCATCACGTCTTGGTAACTTCGGGGGGATGCTTGAACTGGAACCTCCGCCAGCTTTGCAACAGATTCCACACAGCCTGACCAAGATATTTGCCGGGTTGCGTTTCACTGTCTTTGCAATCATCTCTCCAGGGAGGGTCCCATCTTCGATCAAGCTCCTCACGAAGTTCGACGGAGTGGATGAACCGATGGAATGGGACGTCCCAGTTACAGAAGTCAAGCCGTTCAAAGATGCGGAATGCGAGATACCCCTCATACATACGCTTGCAGTGCGCAAGTTGATTACAGAGTTCAGCGAGGGAAGAACACCACTACCGGCCGTAGTTGGCTCTGTAGTCGCATCCGACGAGGAGATCAAGAAAGCAGCGATCGTGAGGCTCGGACTTGGTTACCAGCTCGCCAGTCAGTATACGTCTTTTGTGGCAGTAGATGACGGAGACGAGCAACTGAGAGGTGCTAGAAGAGGTCAAAGCAGGCCTGACATGGGGTGGATTAGAACGAGGCGACAATTGCGCTCGCGGAGATCAATGCAACAGACCGAACAAAACGAGGGTGTTAATGAAGAAGGGAACGATGGTCTCTTAGACACTCTATTCAATGGTTTCACTTCAGCGATCTCGTGGGTCTTCAGGACGTTCAGTGGCTCTGCATCTGGCCCGAATCCGGGATTGGATGGACCCCAGAACCTTCCTGGATCGTACACGGACTCTGAATTAAGTCCGGACACAGGCGATGGAGATTCACGCGGTCGCACCACCAGGCCCAGGGGACAGGATATTCCTCGTCGCTACAGCACAGACACGTTTTCGACACTGAGTTCGCTCGAAGAATCATGCTCTTCTTGCTGGACGTCCTCTCGCTCATCGAGTCCTAGTGATCCGATAGAGCGTGCTCCTTCTCCCGAATTGGTCCGTGACGCAGGGTCCCCGCCCGTGACCCATGCAACTGCTCCGCAGGTTTCCATTCCATCAGGAGTGACTTCTACAACCCCACCGACCATCTCCAAGGAGGCATATGAAGTTTTCCAACTAATCGAACCTGACGGTTCGTTTTCCCCCACTCCTCAGTTGGGTCGGATCATCGGCCCTGGAATATCGGAGAAAGCAGCTGAGCTCGGTGTGGACGGGAAACTATGGGCTACCGTGGTTGCAGTGGCATATTTGAAGAAATGCCTAGAGAATGAACCAAGTTTACTCGATGCATTGGTTGCGAAAGCGAAAGACTTTATCAGGGAAGCACAGACGAGGGGACAGGGCACGTCACGACGTAGCTTTGAGGACATGATTAGACGTGCATCTGAGTGGCTTGAGACGGGACAAAGAACTAGTACTTAGTAAATCGTGTATCTTTGGATACCCGCATTTCTCATGGAAAGGAACTGAGGTCATCGGGATTGCTATTCGATATGTCCGCTCATGTTAGAACCCCGGAGGCCTTGGATTATAGGCTGGCAATGCAAGTTATCGCGATTGATGGGCCAGCTACTCGACAAGTTCAAATGCGGATGCACCAGCTTGTTTCCCACCCGTTAATGCTTCCGTTGATGTCTGAACGCTGGGCACCAGTGCACCACCGTCAGCGTTAGGGACATCTAGATTGGTAGGTAACGGTAGTTCCGCAAGTAACATGTAACGGCATATTTAACAGCGCGCGTTCCACAAAAGTAAGCGGACCGCGACCATGTCGGAGCCTCTGCCAATCGCAAGTTCGCGTTTCGAGCTATGGAATCCATGGTAAGGCGAAAATCACATCAATTACGCATGTAACACGGGGATAGGCGTAGCTTGAAACCGTTCGTCTGTTGATCGGCCTTTCCAAGCGTAAAGCTATCAGGGTCCCGAGAGATAATGGCTAGCTGTTGCGTAGGCAGTACTGGTTAATGTGTCTAGAAGTATCGTCATAACAGTACTTGCGGGGTTCCACGGAACCCTGATGGATGACCAGAGTCAATCACAGGCCTGGCAAATTGCGGCAATTAATGGGTATCAGTTTCATCCGCCATGAGGGCGGTGCCTTGAGGGCGCTCCCTGCCCTCCGGTTCGAATCCCCGGTTTCATCGCCCCGTTGTTTGGCGACAACATGCATTAGTAATACTTGATCCCTTCTGAGTTTCCTTGACGTAAAAATACTAGTCTCCAGCAAGGCGCGCTCTCGCGATCGATGATCAGCCAGCCAAGCCCAGTTTCCACTGTGTAAATACTGGCGGCCGTATACTTGATGCTTACCTTTCGGCTTATTCGGGCGTCATTAAACACCCAGCTCCATTATCTCCACCACTTGGAAGATGCTATCTTTTTACCTCGTTGAAACGATCATATCTGCAAGTGAAGGCGATGGCGTGTTATTATCCCGGTGCGTGGCAGTCACGAGGACAGTGGGAGTAACCATATTTGGCAAAAGCACTGCAGCAGCAAGTTGTGCAATTTTCTCTACGTAGTCAAAAGCTTTCTAATCCTAGCACTCCAGCCGCGACAGGACTCGTAGCAATATTGGCTTGCTGCGTAACAAGTTTGCTGGCCTTTGGGCTGTTTCAGTGCTCGCATAAATAATCACCTTGAAATTCACAGTGTAGGTCGTTACCAAAGCTACATAAGCCTCATGGACTATAAATATTAAGGTATGTGCCGGTGTCTAACTCCGGAGGATATTATAGTAGCGGGGTTCCCAATTCTAAACCAGCAGGATATCTACCCGCCTTAGGAGTCACGTATCAATGCTCCATCAATCACGGGGAGAAAGGATAGCAGGGTTTATTTCAGTGGCCGCAGGCCCACCGGGTACCGCCCCAGGGAACCACCTGGCCAAGTTGGCGGCACGCCGTTCATTGGTTGGCGGTTGCAGGGGAATCGTTGCATCGGCGTCATAGTATGCGATGGCGAATGCAATTCTAGTGTTTTCTGTCGTGTTGGATGCCGCAGCATGGTATGTCCAGCACGAGTGGCTGTGAAATTTGTGCTAAGCTTGATTTCCGACAGCTGTGTGGGAGATACTTACAATGTTGCATCTCCTGCGTTCATGTGTTGCGCGGGGGCCACGGAAAGGTTTTCCTTCTCGACCAAGTTCCTGATATATTCATCGCTCTCATCAGAAATAGGCAGATGCTCAGCATCTTTATTGAGGTGTGAACCCGACACAAAGGACATAGGACCCATGTCTATCGGGCAATCGATAAGCGGAACCCAAAGGGTTATGCACTTTTCCGTGTCAAGGGGCCTGTCATCACAGGTATAGCTCAGTGTATGTTTAGGGGCTAGAAGTTAGAAAGAGGTCCCTCACCAGTAGTGCCCGTCCTGGTGCCACGGTGTCGGCCTGCCCTTACCAAGACCCTCCTTGAAGAAGGTGAGGTCGTGGTAAATCCGCACGTCACGGCAGCCTAACATCTTCGCAGCGATTCCTTATTTTTCAAAGTGAGCGTAAGATTGATGCCCGATCGTCACGAACGCACCTGCGTAACGCTTGGACAAGACGTGCGCGCGCACGACATCGTTAATTTCCCATAGATTTTGGGTGATGCGGAACGCCTTCTGGAAGTCCTCCTCTTCGGCTTTGAGAGCCTCATGCGCTCGTAAGACGGCAGTGCGCAATTCAGTGATCTCCGACTCAGGAATAACGTTTCTGAGCAGGATGTGGCCCTGGTGGATTTCCCGTCAGCAAAGACAGTCCCCGTTCAGCGCAAGTATGCAACTAACATTGTTCTGGTACTCGTCAATCTGAGACTGGGAGAGGTCATAGTCCTCAGCGAGAGCGACGTGGGTGTGGAAGACCATTCGTGGATATTCAGAAGGGTGTAGGTTTTGTGACTCGAAGAGCTGGGTGGAATTTGGTTTCTGATTCTCCACGACCATCTCTCGAGCCTTTTAAATCTTCAGAGGGGTACAATTGGGCTATGCCCTTTACTACAACTTTGCACCCGACTCACAGCAAACCAGGGAGTAACAAAGACTAAATTCGCGATGCGATAATTTCGGTGGCAACGGTTTCACCAGTAAACCAAGCGTACGATGTGTCACGGATGATTGGACACTAGTGCGGTTCTCCCGCATGTCCGTCCGGGCGATGCGCCAACTGAGATAGCCGAACCACGCCCATCAATTTGCAGGCTGTTCGAAGCTTTCATTGCATTTTGCCTGTTGTAAAACAAGTAGGCTCAGGGAAGCGAGCGAAACTGTATTATGATCCGATGGAAGGGGTAAATTGTGGCGCAATCGGGTGGTCCACATGTTCACCGCCACAGGTACTGCGTTCCCCGGTACAATACCCCTTTCCGTTCAAGTTGAAACAGGAACTCGAAAGGCCAACCCCGGACACTGAATACATATGTGTTAATATTATAAAGAACATCTAACCATGCACGGAGCATTGCTAGGATACATTAGACAAGTACCAACTGTAAAAATCAGGGAGCGAGACTAGTGCCGTGATACACCATGAAAACAGTCCTACAACTCAGCGTCCTTTCCCATTAGTAACATCAGCGGTCCCCTCGAAGGTTTATCGAACCATAAAGAACGTTGTTTAGAATTTCCCAACCCATTTTCCCAGAGCCAAGTATCGGGTGGCAGCCAAGAGTGCGCATCCAGCGAGGATAACTCCGCCAGAGTACAATCCAACATCATCAAATCCGCCAGACTTGGTGCGTATTACACCCGCAAGTGGCGGTCCTCCAGCCGCACCGAAAGCCTGAGAAACTACAGCCAACATAAGCAAACTAGAAAGTCCCCGAAGGGGCAGTATACTCACCATACACGTGATCGCCATGCCAATCCTGACCGAGGCGATGAGAAGAATGATCAACATGACATGGGAAACTCAAATTCGTACCTGCTGCCCGCATCGCTCATCCCGCCAAGCCGCGCCGGTGCACTGGGAATCAAACTTACAAACGCCCCTGTGGCGCAACCATATATTACCGATACAACGACCATGGAGGCAATGCTAGAAGTCGAAAATGGCCAGGCGAAAGACACGACTGCCCCTATTAGGGTGAACGGGATTAGGGTGTTGAGTGCTCCAAATTTGTCGGCGAGGACTCCCGAGGAAAGCCGACCAATCAATGAGGCCAAGTTGGCAATAGAAATCAAGTAAAAAGTAAAGTTTGGAGAATATCCAGCTGCTTGACCAGACAAATCGAGGTAAATGAGAGGAACATAAAGGCCCAGCAATGTCACGTTGTAAGCGAGGACTAATGTCAGGGTTAGACAAGCTGACAAAACGACAAAACAGGTTTCCTTACCACAGCATGTAAATGCAGGGTTCTTGAAGGCTTTCCAATTAAACAGGCTTCCCTTGGCGTTAGAGGGAGGGAGACGAGGGCGAAGCAGCTATCCAACGCCTAAACAGACTGGCGTTTCGAAAAAGTGAAGGACACGAACCAGGTTGGCGACGATGACAGCAAAGGTGATAATAAATGCTACGGCACGAACGCTCCATTTGAAGCCGACTTTCCCGAATAGTTGCTGCGTAGCTATTGGAAGCACGGTACCTCCGATACTTGATCCCATTGCAAGGACGCCGAAAGCTTGAGAGCGTTTCCTCAAGACTAAAGGAATGTCAGAGGGTTGCAATAAGTAGAAAAGCACCACATACACCAGTGGGATACAATTGCAGGAGTACTGCCGAAGAGCATGCCAGCAAAGAACTGTATGATAAAATTAGCCACTTCGTCGGGCTATCTATGATAACAAGCTCTGACCCCAGTTGCTACTCCCTGACACAAAATGACTTGTAAGAAAGTCTTGCACTCGGCGACAAGAAACTATGACATGATGTGAGAACAGTGACATCTATAGCTCGTTCGTGCTTACCAGTGCGGCAATGTAGAAAGCGCTGCTAATCGCGAGGGGAATATTGTAATGCCCGAGGTCGAGTAAACGGCCAGTCAACAGTGCCTTCCGTGAACCGTGAGTCGTTGGTTACGTAATACAACATTGAATCACATACCGGGATGAAGATGAGACCATACTGGATGGATCCAATCCACGCAATGTTAGAGGCAGATTGTTCTTTGAAAGTATACTCCTCGTAGTATGTCTGGAATACCTGAACTCGACGTAAGTTGCGTTTTCAATATTACCCCAAGTTGGCTTACACCGAAGGAGTTGATCCAACCAAAACTGTAAACAGAAGTTGTCAGCCAATCATGTGAAGATCTCCGTAAAGATGCTACTCACGTTCCAAAAGACATGAAAAGAGCCTGCACGGAGGTAGATGAGCCAAGGGGATCAAGTGGAGGAGAGAAGTCAACCTACCCCAATCACGACAGACCACTGCCCGTATACCGCCATCTGGGAAATCGGGTATCTCGCGAGTAAGAGGTTTCTCTGGTTCAAAAGATACGGCGAGTGGGGGCGAAGCCCATGGCAGATACGGGAGCTCTTCGACTGAAAGATTTGCCTCCAGGGCATCCTCGTTTGGTCTGCGAGGCTCATCGAGAGTGAACACAGCAGTCGAGTTTTTGAAGGTCACTTTACTCATGGTCCAGAAGTATTAGGGACCGAAAGGACGGAAATGGGGGATATGTCTAGGAGAGAGAATGGGAATGGGAAGGCAGAGGTTATGGGTTTCACTTGTAATAATGGTGCATGGGAAAAACGATAACCCGGGCTCCGTTAGCATGTGCATCGTCGAGCACAGGGCTGACCACGACGGACTGACTGTTCAAACGTTCATACCCGGGTAACGTAATTTCGCGAAGCCCCATCAGCGGTGCAAGCGGATGGTCGATGTGATTGGCGCCGTCGGACACACCGGATCATATGCACAGGAAATAATTTTCCTCCGGGATTCCACAGGATTCTACTCAGATCCTTTAGAAGGGAATCCTCGGGTCAACGCCGTGAACCCCAGACGTCTCCAAATAATTATGGATTGATGGCGGACACATGCCAGTCTGGTAAGTACTGATTCCACCTTCACAACATCCGCACCACGAATGAAACCTTCCGCAGTGGTTCCATTCATCATGTCCATCAAGCCAATTGCGCGCTAAAGTGTCGCTGTCCAGTTTATAAAGCATCCTCGATGTCTGTTCTACCTGCAAGTTGCCTTAGATAGGTTGCTACTTCCTCACTGCTAGTATGCTCGGTCCCGTCCCCTCACCCTCATCCGTGCCGGAACCCCCAGCCTCCAGACCTGGCGACTCACCAGCCCTTGAATCAACCATTCCAATCATTGATATACGATCCACCGCTTGCTCCGTCACAGTCGCAGCTCTGGAAGAGGGCATTCGCGCTGGTGTTCTTGCTGGTTTCTCTAGGCCATATAATGAGAAAGAGCTCCCAAACTTGTTGCTGTACAACGAAGAGGGCCTGCGCCTGTTCGAACAGATAACCTACCAGCCAGACTACTACCTCACCGGGTTAGAAATCGATATCTTATCTCGCTACGCACATCAAATCGCCGATTCCGTCCCGGACGGTGCAATCCTCCTCGAACTTGGCGCTGGGTTAGTTCGTCGACGATTTGATAGACTTTTTCTTACCACTCACGACCCATAGCGCCCTCCGCAAAACAGCCCTAATTCTAGATGCCTTGGAGGCTCAAGGTAAAGCTGTGACGTACTTCGCGCTTGACTTGGACAAGCCGGAGCTGCTCCGAACTCTTGCGGAATTGAAAGATCGTTACACCCATGTCAGCCTTGCCGGCTTGTGGGGTACCTACGATGACGGTTGTACTTGGCTAAAGCAAATCAAAGAGCGTCCGAGGATTATCCTATGGCTAGGCTCTTCTGTCGGCAATATGACACGGAGTATTCTTTCCATACCCTTTCCGTATGCGCTCTTCAACTGAAGCAAATTTACAGAGGAAGCTGGCCAGTTCATTCGCACCTTTGGGGATGTTCTGGCCCCTAGGGATCGCTTTATTATCGCCATTGATAGTAGATACCACAAGCTCGACGACATCCGTGCTGCGTATAACGACAGGGCAGGCGTCACTCGCCGCTTCGCTCTCAACGCATTGGGTAACATTAACGACTTGTTCAATGCTAACGTCGTAGATGTCTCGTGCTTTGATTACAACCCCTATTACAACGAGGTATATCCTGCAGGTTAAGCTGAGGCACTGTGCTAACCGTGTGCCTCACAGATACAGGGCCGGAACGAGGCCTATTTCCGCTGTCTGAAAGAGACCCAATTTAAGATCCCATCAGAAACACCTATTCTTGTCCACGAAGGGGAATACATCCGTTTCGCGTTCTCCCACAAATATGACCGCGTCGAGGGGCAGATGTTATGGACCGCTGCCGGGGCATATCCTGTTCAGGAGTGGGCGTCCCGAGACGGCGATTACGCGTTGACGATGCTCTCATGGGCATCGTGAGATCCTGTACAGAAATTCCATAGTCGACTCATCACAATAAGAATGAAATGATGTACACTGTAGGCAAGCGACAGCCGAGACCTGCTCTTGCGATTATGAAAATGTGGTTCATTTTGACTCATGTGTGATTTGGCGGTCTCCACTGGGCGGCTTTGGAAGTGGATCGTAGAGTCAAAGGTTCGAGGAAATGTCACTCCGGCTTCACCCAAAACGTCTGGTCGAGACTAGTGATTTGGGGCGGTGTGAGAGCAGGGGAAGAGCGATGCTGAGGCCTCGAGGAATCAAATCGGCAAATTGTTAGGTCACCGACTCTACAGGGATGCGCCATTTTGGCTGCTTCCGGTGAAAACCAGACATAAGTTGGGTCCACGATGTTGAGTACTCACACCGCACTCGACAGTGAGATCCGAACCCAGTCAACGGCGTAAGATTCCCAAATGTGTTTGGACTATGTCATTCGCACACAAAGAATCCCCCAGTGTCAATGTAGTCTAGACACCCACGGGAGCGTTCTCACTGTATGGTGCAATTGCGGCGAACTAACCACAGCATTTTGGCTGTTCCACTTGACAAAACAGGCGTAGTGCATGATCGGCCGTTGTCACCTACTATGAAATGATGAGAATGGTTATTCTTGGTCGGGCGACAGGATACATACATAAACATCAGCTGCATTCCCCGTATATCACCGATATCGCTTTCCGGTGGTATGAAAGTATTTACTACGACGAATCCAGAACGCGAGACACTGCGTTTCTGTCCAGAGATTTTCGGTTGGATTTTCGGTAGTGAGCGATGCAGTGCGCACTGGTGCGGTGATAATAGTGGTTACGTTGTGAAAACTTGCAATTGGCGTATCTCTACGTGGTCGGCGCAGCAGTGGTCTGGTTTGTAAGTTACAACACGCGCCATAGTGTTGCCTCTATGTCGACGCCAAGGAGGACGTCCGAATCAAACACCAGCGCTGTTTACGAGATGAAACACAACGATCGCTTCGAGGGAGTGGACGTTGAAACGTTGACACACCAGTGCACCAGAACTCGGGAAGTTGGGATTGGTACTGGTTTGTGTGATAGGCTAGGTTCCCGATCTCAGCTGATCCTGGGTTTCGTTTTCACACCCTCAGAATGGTAGTGCCAAACTTGGGATATAATAAATATTTGCAGTCCACTGTGCCTGCCAATTTAGGGCAATACGTCGTGTGAAAATTGCTCTACAGCGGGGCTATCAGTTGTTCAAGCCGAAGCCTAAGCTGAAGCGGGCAATAACAAGGCTACAACCCAAAAATGAGTCAACAGCCAACTGTCTGGATGTAAGGAATCGGCACGACGTGGAGGGACTTCTGTTTAGGCGGTGAAAGGTAACCAGACAACGGTTTGCGTCATTGACATAATCGACGGCAGCCTCATCATAGACGGTTTGGTCACAAGATTATTGCGTGCCTGTTCTCTATCGTGTAAAAAAGCCTACGGTATAGGGACGCTTTTCTTTGCCACCTCGAAGAATACAGACCGTATTGGTTAGCATCGTCACTACACTGGATTAGCGTGATTCACTGGCAAAGTCAAATCCCGAGGCCGAGGCCTGAGGGCTGTTTTACCCGAACTGAAGCAGTGGAGCACGGGATTTCCTGACGTCCGAACGCTCATTGACGACATCGAGAAACTCGTGACTAAAGGGGAAAATCAAAACTTCCGTCTTGACGAAGGATCGAATGATGCTGAGATCAGGATCAAATGCGCAGTTCCATGCTAACGGAAGCTGACTAGATGACGAGAGGTCGAGAATTACGAGTCTCCAACTGACTCACAGACGGACTGATGTTCCCAGGTTTAAATCCACTTCCGCTCCATTGGCGTAGGTGGACGCCAGCTTGGCATGTTACGGCCACTGGAACCACAAGGCTTTGAGTGTCCATCCCGCTAAGCACGGCCGTCCCGGTCAGCGTTTACATAGCCATCCGGTATTAGTCCGATGAATATGCTTCATCGCGATAAAACGATTTGGCGGCACTGAAGGCACTTAGAGCAGTTTTGAGCGCGTTGTTTCAGTCAAAAGCGAGATTTGGGTTCACGTTCATCAATGATCGCTAATTAGATGTAAACCGACGATGCCCGATCAAAACAACCCAACTCTACGAAATAAAAGGCTCCACGTCGGGTACACTTACCACCCACCACCACCACGACTGACAAGTACATCATTATGGACGCTATCAAAGCAGTGTTTGACGCGAAGAAAGCAGAGGTTCGTGATATCTGAATCGCTAGGTGTCACTCATCGACTCGACGTGCGATAGGGAAGCCATGCTCTAGTCACTTTTGTCACCGCAGGTTATCCCAACAAGGACGACACCGTTCCCATCCTATTGGCGATGCAGGCTGGAGGCACTGACATCATTGAAGTTGGTGTTCCATTCTCAGATCCTATCGCAGACGGTCCTGCTATTCAAGAAACTAACCTCGTGAGTCCGTTCATTCCAAATTTCGATCGTGCTCTAAGTGGAATACATTAGGTCGCTCTTCAAAATGGAGTTGACTATGCATTGATCCTCAGGCAAATCAAAGAGGCTCGAAACAAAGGCCTTACCGTCCCAGTGCTTCTAATGGGTGAGTCTAATATGCGACCTCGTGAGCCCGTTCGTGCTCACTTGCTCGTGCAGGTTATTACAATCCTATTCTTGCATATGGCGAAGACAAAGCCGTACAGGACGCTCGCGATGCTGGCGCAAACGGATATATCATGGTAGACCTCCCACCCGAAGAGGCATCCGGATTCCGCGAGAAATGCACGAGAGCCGGGTGAGCACATGTCATTAGATCGTGAAAGCCAAAGAAAACTCATCTATGGGCCTATAGCATGTCCTATGTCCCTCTCGTAGCACCGTCGACGTCCCTGCACCGACTTCCTTACTTGGCTTCCATCGCAGATTCCTTCATTTATGTCGTCTCGCGTGTAAGTTCTTCCTTCATGTTAGTTGGACGTTATCGGAATATGCATGCCGCATCTCCCAGATGGGAACCACCGGCTCTTCCGTCAAAGGGTTCGTGAACAGCGAGCTTCCCGACATCATCGCTCGTATCCGCAAGCACACTTCCGTACCCCTTGCCGTGGGTTTCGGAGTTGCTACACGTGCTCACTTTGATGCCGTTGTCGAAGCTGGAGCGGATGGCGTCGTCGTCGGGAGTCGCATAGTCTCCCTCATCAAAGAAGCACCGGCTGGTCAAGTTCCTCAGGTAGTCGAGAACTTCTGCAGAGGACTCAAGGGATCATCGCCCTCCAACTCCTCCACTGCCGGAGTTCAAAGTTCACAATATCATTACCCGGTCGTTGCCGGGATATCTCGACCGACTGGAATGACACTTCTCCCCTCGCGCTTCGGCGAGTTTGGCGGCCAGTATGTACCGGAAGCACTTTTCGACTGTCTCATCGAGTTAGAGGAGGCTCACAATGCTACGCGGAATGACCCAACGTTCTGGGCTGAGTTCGAAAGCCACTATGGTTATATGAACCGCCCTTCCAAGCTATACTTTGCAGAAAGTCTGACCAAGTATGCTAATGGCGCACAGATATGGCTGAAACGAGAGGATCTGTACGTGTCCGCCGATCACGATCACGCAATAAAATCGGTCTGATCTCATGCTTTTACAGCAACCATACAGGGTCACATAAAATCAATAATGCGGTTGGCCAGGTGCGCATATGCCCGCTCCTTTCAATGTTTTAGGCTGAACGTCGGCCAAGATCCTGTTGGCTAAGCGTCTCGGCAAAACTCGCATCATCGCAGAAACGGGTGCCGGACAACATGGTGTGGCGACTGCGACCGTGTGTGCCCGTTTCGGGATGGAGTGCGTCATCTATATGGGTGCCGAGGATGTACGGAGACAAGCTCTAAACGTCTTCCGTATGAAGATGCTTGGCGCCAAGGTACCCAACTTGCGATGTGGATCAATCAAGCTACTAATTAAATTCTACTCAGGTCGTGCCCGTCGAGTCGGGTTCGAAGACACTGAAGGATGCTGTTAACGAAGCAATGAGAGATTGGGTCACGAACCTTGCTACAACCCATTTCCTCATCGGATCCTGTTTTGGCCCTCATCCATTCCCGACTATTGTCCGCGACTATCAAAAGGTGATCGGACGTGAAATCAAAGCACAGATGAAGGAGGAAACAGGGAAACTTCCAGATGTGGTTGTCGCATGCGTTGGAGGTGGCAGCAATGCCATTGGGTCCTTTTACGAGTTCATTCCAGATACATCTGTGCACCTCGTGGGCGTTGAGGCAGGAGGCGAAGGTGGGTGTATGGATCAATTTATTGTCCTTGTGTACTAACTCCCAGCAAGGTATCGACGGCGATCGTCACAGTGCCACCCTGGCTAGAGGCAAGCCGGGTGTCTTGCATGGAGTTCGAACATATGTCCTGCAAGATCCCGCTGGTCAAATCGTAGAGACGCACTCTATCAGTGCTGGATTGGATTATCCTGGTGTTGGACCGGAACACTCCTGGTTGAAGAAGGAGAAACGTGCTGAGTACGTCGTTGCGACCGACGAGGAAGCTTTGAGAGGATTCCGTCTGTGCACTCAGCTCGAGGGTATCATTCCAGGTTAGCATTCTTTGATTATGAAGGGGCCATACTTGATGATGCACTTCAGCATTGGAATCTTCGCATGCTCTGTGGGAGGGCATTCGCCGAGCGAAGACACTTCCCAAGGAAACCAACTTGGTTATTGTAAGTGTCACGTTTACCAGTTTCTCCTACCTCTGTTGACGCGCCGGAATACAGTGCCTCTCTGGGAGAGGTGACAAAGATGTCGAACAGATCTCCCAGCTCTTGCCCGGAAAATGGGCCGATCGCCTTGACTGGCACATTTGAAAGATGGTAGACGGAATCTAGCTATAGGGCCGCTTTAAAGTTAAATGTGGAAAAAAAACGTGCAAGCAAATGTGAGTTTGTGGGCCAATATTTAATCTCCGACTAGAGATTCAAACTCCGCAGAAAAAGCGTGTGACCTGGAAACGGTAGATGTGTATATAATGCTGTTAAATATCCGATTTAAAAATTAAGACTCCGCCAAAAAGCATAATTATCAACAGCGAGATCTAGCAAGTGATAGTGAACTGATAACAAACAAAACAAACATCCATATTCACATGTACTACTACATACTATTGTAGTGTGAATACAGATGCAGATGTATACATGGGGGGGAGGGGGGGGGGGAATGGGGATGCATATACTAAATGATGATCAGTATTCTGTCATACACTGTTTCAAAGTGGATAAACATCTTGATTACTAGACAAAGGGCCTTGATCCTCACTGCCAGCTATGCCTTTTTGCAAGGCAAGGTTCTGAGCACAAAGTTCCTCCATGTCAGGTCCAGGCCTACTCTGACCAACTCCAACATGAAACAAGGTCTGGGGAGAGGTGCAGATGCAAGTCTGACACAGTCAAATGGAACTCTGACTAGTGGAGGATTGGCAGGATTGAAGTCTGCTGGGACAGAAGTGGAGCAGAGTGAGGGTGTTGGGTTTAGCTCATGTGCTACCCCCTTGCATGATCTCAGCCCTTGTATTTCAGAGGAAGAGACCAGATGGAAGATCAGAGATAACTCTGACAGACAGAAGACAGAGAGATACAGAGTAGGAACTTGGGTGATATTTGTACTGAAGAACAGCAGAGTACTGTACATGCTTTTATACTACTATGGAGGTACAGTAACTGGAATTGGAACTGACATATGGAGACTTGTAAATTTTCAAGTAAAAACTTCCTGCATGATGAATGAAGGGGAGATAGAGAACATATGACAAGTAACATAGAACAAACCAAAAAGGAGACAGTCTAGGTGCTGAACCATGAGGTGCATGCACTGCAGAGTACCTGACTGTGCACTGTCAAGGAGAAGTCTGAGGGCTGGGCTAGCAAGGGTCACATGACCCACTGGAAAATGGCCTGTGCAGTCTGACAGTAGGTTGGTACCAAGTCCAATAGTAGTCAGGGTGGAGGAGACTCATGAATGACAGAGGACAGGTGGAGTTGGTGCAGAGCAAGTGGAATGACTGGCAGAGTAGGGTGCAGAGTCAGTAGGGACTTAGGACAAATGCATGGTTGTGATGCTCCAACTTGATGGCAAGCTTCATCTTCTCCAACTCTTGAGCTGCCATCATCTCCTCATGTGCAAACAGCTTGCATTGCATAGTAAGTTGGTGTTTGCAATTGGTTGAGAGAGCAGTGGCCTTCTGGTGAGTCCTCCAGTATCTGTACTCAAGCTGGTGACACTTGACCTCTGACCTATCCTGCTGTGCCTGTTGAAATTGCTTAATGAAAGTTAATGAAGCAGACATGAGGTCTGAAGAAAGCTTGTCAGCAGGGGTTTCCCATGCATGCTTATGGGATGGCTTTTTTGTTCAGCTTGGAATCACTGTCATCAGAGAGAGCAGTGACACTGGGGGGGAAGATGATGAGAGATGAAGTGCTGAGAACATATTGGATGAAGCAATGTTAAAGTTGGAGGAGTTGTCTGTATTTTGGAGTGGAGGCTGACCAGTGTTTAAGGAGAGGTCAATCCTGCTCAAGGGACAGACACACTGGCTGGAGTTTCGGACAATGGGATATGAAGGGAGGGGGGTCATCATTCAAGCTGATAGAATTCACCCTGTTAAAAGTAGAGGGGGGGGAGACATGACAACAAATGACTTGGAAAAATTGAAGGATGGCAGGGGGGTGAGTGAAAACTGCTTGGAATTAGCAGGGAGGGATAACAGCAACAATTGTTTAGATCTAGTAGAGGATGGAGAGGGGGATGGTATAGGAAATGATGGTGTCTTGACATATGACAAGGGGGGGTTACTTTTGGCATTCATCAGTTCAGAATTGTCTGCAAGAAAGTTGTCATTAGTATGAAAATTGTCACCACCCTCCTCTATTTCACCCTCTTTCAGCTGAGATGAATTTGGCAGGCCTGCAGCAGGATCAATGGAATCTCTGGACAGTGGGTTTGGCTACAGCTTGAAGAGTTCAACTGTGAACCTAGTGAAATCTTGCCCACTATCAGCAGTACTCCAGGTGCTGTTGTAGGCAGGATTTGTGTGCCACCACCCATGCAATTCTCCCCACCAAGGAAACTCCCTCATGATCATTGCTGATAACAATCAGTAAACTAATGTGTTTAGGAATGAAGTAGTCATGTACTGATTATATTTTTTGTGCTGTTGCTGCTTGTGAGATCCTTGTAGGTGCACCTGGCACTCATCTGCCTGTCACATATGTGACTCTTGGACTTAAGCCCAGTCCAGACTGGACCCCTAGCCCCTATCTCCAGTCAAGTCTGGACCCACTTTAGCCCAGAAAACTTGTCATAGCTGTGCCTCAACCCTGGCCAGACTTGGCCTCAGCCTTGCCAAACTCTACCCCCAGTTGGCCTAGCATGATTAGCACTGCCTTGCAGTGTTATTACAAAGTGTCATTGCAGTTGAGCCCACCTCAGTCTTGTCCCTGGCCCACCCTGTCTCTGTCCCAGTCTCTGGTCATCTTTGTCATACCTTACTAATGCTATTCTTACCAATCATCTTAGCAATCCTTGTGAGACCAGCATTACCAGTCTCCATACTATAGTTGTCTCTAGTATATAAACCCATAGATACTCAGCCTGTATCCTCTCAGTCTGAAATCAACTAAGTTACTCTGATAATCCTACCTTGGCCTTGGACTCAGACTGAGACCCATGCAAGGGAGTAGTGCCATAACCTCAGTCACTAAGTCCAATCAGTCCACCCTTCTGTATCTCCACTACACCTCCGACCCTGACCCCTCTCAGCCTCATGCCTGCTTTGGTCTCCAGTCTGGCCTCAACCCAGATGTCATGAACTTGACAGTATTTCAGACTCACCACTTGTGTGGGTCTAACATACCATGGCAACCAAGACTTGTTTCCAACCTCCCCACAGCTGTTCTGCCACCAGCCCTGACTCCACCTCAGCCAGTGGAACTCACCATGAGAAAGTGCTAGCTGCCTTGGGAACCACTAGGTGCTCTCTAGATCCTGTTAGTCCTTTCAGGGAATTTTCAGCCTGGACATCCAATACTCCCACCCCATGTTGTCCCACTGCCCCCATCCCTGAGGATGACCCTGGCAATGATGGGCTGGGAGACAATTATAACAACAATCCTGATGATGACCCTGGCAACAGTCCTGGCAATGATGGGCCTGGAGATGATAATCTGGAAGAGAATGATCCAGAGGATGAACCAGATGTCCCAGACACAGACACTGAGCCCACAATTATGGTCCTGGACAACCTTGCAGAGGCCATCAAACTGCTGGCTCACAATGCCTGCACTAGTCCTGAGTCCTCAAGCAGGACCAAGTTGCATGAGCCTGATACCTTTGATGGCACCAACCCCAAGAAACTTTGTGCCTTCTTCATTCAGTGTGAGTTGAATTTCCAAGACCAACTGCACCAAAGTCATCTTTGTGCAGTCTTACCTCAAGGGCATGGCCTTAGAATAGTTTGAGCCAGACTTGCTTGGGGTTGAGGACCCCAATGACTGGCCTCTCTAGATGGACTCCTGGAGGGAGTTCATCCTAGAACTACAAACCACCTTTGGCCCTCATGACCCAGTTGCTGATGCTGAGAGCCAACTTGAACTTCAATTGGCTTGCTTCACAAGTCCAAGGCTATGGAGATGGTGTGCTGTGCCACCACTTCTACTCTGGACTCCCAGACCAGAGCAAGGATGAGGTCTGTTGGGTTGGCAAGCCCCAGACACTACACAAGCTTCACCACCTTGCCCAGGAGATAGATTCACACTATTGGGAGCACAAAGAAGAAATCCAATGGGAAAATAAGCATCAGAGCTCCTCCTCCTCCTCCTCCTCCAACAACAACAACAACAAGTCTGGCAGCTCTGGTAACAACAGTCAGTCCAAGACTGGCCAGGACAAGCCCAAGACTGGCAGTAACAATACTAGTTCTACCCAGTTCAAGCTGGCTTCATCAAAACTGGGCAACAACAATAACAGCAATTTGTCCAAGCCTGAGTCTGGCAAGCTCAGCAAGGATGGAAAACTCACCCCCAAGGAACACAAGTGTCACATGGATGGGAAACTCTGCATGTTCTGTGGAAGGTCTGGTCATTTCACTGACAAATGCCCCAAGAAAGCTGGAAAGGCCAAGGCTCACACCACAGCCACTACCAAGGCCACACTGGCCTCAGGCTTGGGTTCTACCCCCAAGACAAAAAAATAGGTAGCAGCTCCTGGGACTCCACACAATCTGGGAGCTGTGTTGACTCCAGTTGTGCAAACTTGGAGGCTAGACTCAATGTGTCTGCTCTTTCCAGCCCAAATTAATTGACTCTGTACATCATTATAGAAAATCATAATTTACCTCAGCTTCATACTTTAGTGGACTCTGGTTCCACTCATTGTTTTATAGATAACCAATTTGTTAATCAACATTCATTTACCCCATACTTGGTCTCCCCAATCTAACTCCAACTCTTTGATGGAACATCCACCTTCACCATTACCCAAGCAGTAGATGTCAATATCTGCTTCACATCTGGTGATGTCACCCCAGTAACCCTGTTTTTAGGCCTATTGGATTCTGAGTATAAGATAGTCCTCAGACATGACTGGCTTGCCTGCTACAATCCATTGATTGATTGGGTACTGAGTAGTCTAACTTTCCAGACTCCTATACAAGGAATGCCAACCCCATTGACACCCCCTGTAAGCCCAGTCCCCACTGGTCTTCCTGACCCCAGTCCTAGTGACCAACCTGGCCTTGCACCATCTGTACCAGTTACTGACTCCCCAGCTCACACACCCCTGAAGGCCCCTCACATATCCCTAGTTAATGCAACTG